ATATTCAACACTTTTCAGAACAATTTTGCAACTAATTTGATCAGTTAGTAGTGTTCGTGTAGCTTTTAATCCAGGAAGATAATTGCAAAAAATCTACATCAAGCAAATACGATTGGGCCTCCATTAAAATATATTGTAATTAATTTTTGTGTATATATGCCAGTAATTAATTAGAATTTTCAAATCACATAGAGACCTTGGTTTTATTAAGATTTGCAGAATAAAGTAAAAACTATGCTGATACAACCGTTAAAAGCCTACATGATAAATGTCAAGTTGCAGACAACGTATTCACTACGTTCTGTGTGAAAATTATCTACTTAAAGCATTCAACTTTTCACATCTCTCTACGGCATTAGGAATCAATTGATTCAGCAGGCACTTGAACACGAGATGTCAATTACAGAGGATTTAGAGTGGGTTTGGGAGGCAATGCCACATTTCACCCCCGCCCAGACAGGCCAGAAAATCCCCAAACACCCGCCTTTCAGCACAGTAATTTTGCAACAGGCTTGTATGACACTTTTTATTATACATATCTTTCCCCAGATAAAAATTTTTCCCTAATTACCATTGAGGCAAAAAGACACATCAGATTAAAAATGACCAACGAGGCTTGCGGCGAGCAAAAAGAGAATCACTGAATATCATCTGCTGTGATGCTTAAAGCTTATGCGTGATGTGAGAGCTTTTAAGTGAATTAGAGATTATTAAAATTGGATAAAGAAAAAAAATTAATTGCCTCTGGCTGGAGAAAACGTGACGTACATTTTCCTGCGAATATTCAATCTACTGCTGGATAGAGTATTTAAAGGTCATTTGCTTTGTGTGACTTCGAGATGCTCTTTACAGCTCCGCCAACTCTCAATGCTGCACATTTTTCGGAGTCTGCTGTGCGATTGAAATCCCAGAGACTTCTCTTGCACAACCACTGGTGATTCTCGAATACTACACCAAATAAAATTACCAAACGCCCATTTTTAGCGAAAAATTAAAGCACAGGAGCCAATCTATGGGAGAATGAGTGTTTCACACAAGACACACATGAAAAAAAATGGTGGCAAGAAATATTGCACACAGATTGTTGGTTGTTCTTGCAATTGTTGCGCACTGTCAACAATTTAAGTATTATTTCTGGGTGGATTTTGTGATTCATAGTATATACATATGGATGTACAGTGTACATAAATGTAGAATAAAAGGCAAAAACGCCAGTACGAACGACAGGGAAGGACTGACGTATGGAATTTCCTATTTTTTTCGCAGTCACCACGGCACAACACATATTTTATGCCACAAACACTAATATTGTAGAATGTACAAGAGGAAAACACAGTGTTTAGCAATTGCAATCTTTTTTTTCGCCTCTGTCCCACCTCGGCTTTTTTTTCTCTCCTCATACACACTTCTCTTTCTCTTGTACATGAGAATGCAGTAACAAACTAAATAGCAATTGTTTGCACATTTCAGCATTATTTATGTGGGTTATCTTTTTATAAAAATTCTTTTTCCCCAACACTTTTTCGTTGTTTATACTTTTTTCATTTTGCACGTCTATTTAATTATTATTCACACTGTTGGCTCAATAGTTATTCTTTTTTTTGCCTCATCACTCCCTCTTTCACTCATTTACCCACAAAAAGTTCACGAGTTGATATCAAATTGAAAATTTTTTTTTCTGGAAACTGCCATAAAAGGGCGGCACATAGTTTTTTTAACTATTAAATTCTGCACGGATAAATCTGACAATAAAATATTCATATGATGGTAAATTTTCTGATATTCCCATCATTGATCAAGTGACAAAATTATGCCAACCAGTAAAAAATTTTGTGAAATTGAAAATTTAAACATGAATATGAGAAATATTAAAGAGTAAAAAACTATCACTCTAGATCTCCATTGCAGTACAAACAAACGCGCTGACAGATATATTCTAGTAAATCATTTTTTCCCAATTCAATCTGTTTCAATCAATGGTAAGAAGCATAAATCATTTGAATTAATAATAACTCCAAATAAATGTTCATTTCAGCGTGGCAAATTGCTCCGCGTGTGAATAAATTGACAAATTTGCAAAGTTAATTTGCGCTGCATAAATAAGCTTCATGCCTAAATGATACTGTTTATCAATGGTAATAATTGCAAATAGTGTACATCATGTTAATTGATTTATAGACAATGCCTGCCACAAAATATTTTAATTCATTTGTTCAATAAGTGCCCCTCAAAAATTATCGACATTTTTCGCCCATTTTGCACATTTGAAAAATTACCCATCACCATGTTAATATGTGGATATCTCTAAATAGAGGCCATGTGACCTGAATTACATGGAATTGGATAAGAAAATGCTGTTTCACGTGATATATGATAGTACAAAAACTAACAACAATTGGAAGTCTGAACACTTTTGCTGACCACTGTTGAAAATTTATTCGTACAGCACGAGAAGAAGAAGGAGGGAAAGAGTTGGCGCTTATAGCGTTGATTTTCTAGGTCAAATATTGACCTACTGATCGGCTCTTGGGAGTCTCTTTTTTAAACCGCGAATATCTTTTTAATGAAAAATACACACGTTAAATTTATTATTCATACTCTTTCTCGCTCTCAATCTCACTGAATCACAATGAATAAGTGGGATGAAATGAGGAAATGAATGAGAAGAAATTGTCACCTACAGAGTGAAAGTTATGGAAGTGAGTGAGATGAGAGGAAAAAATATGACTTTTTGTTAAACAAACTCTTTATGTGTCTCTCGCTCTCGTGAAAACGTGAATTAGTCACTATTTTGGCTATGTTATCTCAACATTTTATATGGCAATTCTCTTGTAAAAAAAATATTCCTCTTATACCTTCTGTGTGGAACGTGCCAATATGTCACAATTTTCTCATGGAAACGTGACAAAGGTACTTTCTTCAGATGCCATGAGAAAGAATTTAAGCAAATTGAGAATAAATGCTGAATATTGAAAATAAAACGAGCAATAAAGACCATAAAATACTGTCGTGCAGCGACATTACAAAAACAAAAATACCGTAAAAGCAAATGAACAAATTGAAAATTATAATAAAATAAAGAAATAACAGAAATTTTTCTCCTCAATTTTCCACAAATCCAAACTGAAAGAGAAGATAGAGAAACATGGGGAGAAATTCACTCTGAATCCGATTTAAGTCTAATGGAATTTTCTTCCTCATTTTCTTTCTCATTTTAGAGATTATTCAACTACAATCTCGAGAGGATTTTCCTTCCTCAAAACATACCATTGCCAACATTGAGCAAATGTGACAGATAATAAAATGATAAAAATTCCCATAAAATCCTCATTTAGATGAAATGGAAAATTGATGGGGAAAGTCAATGGTTTTCTTAAGCTGCGCTAACGCGACGGTCGCTTTGGCTGACATTTACCGCGAACTCGATTTACTTAAATAGCGAAAAATGTGTAAGAAAATACCTTTGACTAGAGGACATTTAAGAAGGTGATTAACACTGAAACATCTTCTTGTAAATTGCGCCATATCATTTCCATTTTTTCCACTACAATATCTCACTTAATTGGACCAAGTGAGAGAAACTTTACTCAAAAGGCTGTATTTGATGGAAGTAAATAACACACAATGCAATGTTTTCTGCCAATGAGATATAACTAAATACACACACACCAATTCACAATCTGAGATTATTTTTATAATTTAATTAATTTAAATGATTTCCCCATTTTCTCATTCCATAGCACACCACGCCTTGTCAGAATCTTAGTCAAATAGAAGATGATAAAAGATTAAATGTTGTGATTCTTCAGAAGAAAGAGGATTAATAGAAAAAAGGAAGATGAAGACAATCAAATGACTTATTATTAATTGAATCTCCTTTTCCCCCTTTTGTCATGGCTCTTTTCACCCTCACTGCAGATTTCTGTTTGAATTCAATGATAGGAAAAAGCCAGGACTTTGTGGAATAGAAATCGGGTGAGTTAATACAGCTAAGAGACGCAGAAAGATGAGGAAGAGAAGATGGGAAAACTTTTGCGCTCTGTCACCACGAAAAATCTTTGGCGATCTTTCATTTTCCATTTAAATCCCACAATTACTTTGGAAGCAACTTTCACTTGGTACTTTATTCTCACTTCACCCTCTCTCACATTTTCCAATCTCTCAATCACCCTCCCCCGAAATTGATGATAATTTACGCGTATTTAATGGATTAGATACTAATGGGGCATTCATTGTGCTCTGGGTTTTAGTCGTACAGACAATTTGGCTTCTCTGTGCAAAATACATTTTACTACATCACATCATTCCTCGCCATTCCTCACAAATTTCGCGTAATAGGGAAGGGCAAAATATTATACAACCAGCACTGATAACAACCAATTTGAGTGACTCTCGTAGAAGTTTAGGGATCCCCTCGAATCGAATACTTTCTCCCTGTGGCGGAAGATACAACGTGGATGGGAGAAGTGAAATTTCCAACATAAAATTCATTGCTTCACATGATTCAACCCATCCCGAGGACGACATCCACGTCTTACCGCAATGGAATTGTCAGCGCCACTGTAATTATTTCCCCCGCGGGAAATCTCCCACTCATGCCCAACCCCTTTCCATGGAGAGACATCGATGAAGAATGAAAAGAGACGCCACAACACACAGAAATACCGGAAGATTCTTCTTGAGTGCATTTAAATGAAGAGATTATTTCCTCCATTTTCCCGCCTTTTTCTCTTTCACCTCATTTCTTCACACCCTCCCAACTTCTGTTGGACACAACAGAACGCAAAGGACATCTTCCTGTACTTAATTTGTGACATTTCCACAATCCCTTACTCTTCGTAACACACAATTTTCTCAATCATCCACTTTAGCAGTGTCGATGGGACATCAAATTGACTTCTTTTGAGAATTTTCCTCAACTCATTCATCAATTGTGAGGCGATTTCAGTTGAAAGTGGGTTTGAATAGTAAGACTTATCATCAGGATACAATAGTCTCACCTGTTTGTCCTGGCGCAGTTTCCGTGGATACAAATTGTCCCTGGACACTGGTGAAGAACAGCAGCAGAGCTGCGATCGTCCACTTGACAATGCCCGCCGAGTGAAGTAATTTTCTCCATTTCCATCGCGATATTCGCTTCGATGACGACTCCTCCATACCGTCGATCAACACTAAGTCAGACCGTCGAGGGCGTGTGATAAGTGTGCGTGGCAAATCAGGAACAGCGTGTGTAATCCAAATAGTTGATCAGCGGTAACATCACTTTTCACTCACGTTTACTTAATTCTTTCTTTCTTTCTCTTTCTCTAACGAGAAATCTTAGCACTATCACCAAACAGGAATTAATATTTTTGCACCACTTGTTTGTGTGATCTCTTGGAATCACCACACTATTGTTTCACTCAATCCTCTTGCGTATTCACACTTAATTTGCTCTCTTATGGGAAAAAAGATGCGAGAAAACAATTAATCATCTTTTGCATAAATATGGGTATGAAATAGTGTTGGAATTAGATAACGTTGTAGAAGGTGAAAAAAAAGTTCTCCATTTATTGATTATTATGAGAGGAAATATTGTGGATTCTCGCACGAAAAAAGGGATGCAAGTTGAGACATTTGTGACCAAGTGGAAAATTCTAAAGAAAATTGCACTCAATTGCAACGTGTTTCAAGACCTATTTTAATTCATTAACCGCTGCCAGTGTGTTAAGATGATCCCACACACACGCACACACACACACACACACACACACTATGCGATGCTCTCCGGTGTTTGTGCGAAGAACCTGGAGCAGATCGCACACAGAGAAGTGACCTCAAAGTGATCCTCACACATTCTCGACTCGAGCCTCCTTCCCAGTCCCCCCAGCGAGCCCCTTTGATCTAGGTGCGATCTCTCGAGTGTCTATTAAGCCAATTCTATACCACCACACGCGATTATCTCGCTCCTCACATAATCTCCGCATAGTGATCTTCACTCGATCATCACGAGGCGTGTGTGAGTGCACGACCGAGGAGCGTCTCTCCATACCTGTTGGCGGGTGCTGCCACCAGGTGTCCACCTGAGCAAGTTGGAAAAAACCCAATTACCTTTGATCACCCAGCACAGGCAACTATTTGTGTGCGGCTCTCCGAGATATTTGAGACGTTACACCACTCATTTGCATTCCCGACAAATAACATTTCGACCGCAACTGGAATTCGCAAATGCAACCCAAAATACTCAATGTTGAATCGGAGTGCAGCAGATATAATGAATTGAACCACAATTGGGACTTCTTTCATTGCAATTCTCTCTCACTCAGCACACTGAAATCCCCCACGGTGAAGAGAGATTTCACATTGCAATTCCACTTGCATGATTGAAATTCATTTAATGTGGTTTAATAGCCAACAAAATACCTCAATCATGGGAAAATGTATCACACTGGGTGTAATTGATAAATCTGTTGGATTTGCAACTGAGGGGAGAACTGCAAAGCACTGTGCTCAACTTAATCCCCTTTCGTGACAAATTTTCCCTCTTGCACAGTTTACAGGAGAGAGAAATTTCACTGCGAAAATCTGGCCCGCAACATCGCTGGAATATGAGCGATAGAAGTATGGAAATATGTGAATTATTACATTTCACTGCTCAGAAATTTCATTTTAGACTGCAGGCAGCAGTGGTTAGAGGAGTAGAAAAAATCATCCAAGAGATGGATAATGTAGCAACAGAAATCGTAGAAAATTTCTCCAATTAAACTCTCGTGTGATTTGTGTATTTGTATTTTAAAATCTCAACACACAGAGTTTGCACAAGAAACACACAAGAGAATGACGGTAAAGTTGGACGTAGAGTGAATATGTGGATAACAAAAAAAAAAAAGATAAAAGAAGCAACAAGTCCACGTCAACTTCTTTTCTCTCAGGTCTCTTCTTCTTCTTCAGAGCCGAAAGAATCTCTTGCCTACAATTTCTCGCAATTTTCGCACTCTTCACCCGCTTCCAGGGACACACTTTTCAACCCACCCACTTCAGCCGGTGGTCACGGGAAATCACGAGGATTCCCTGTGATCTGTAGAGCAAAAAATTGCCTCTTTCAACTCATACACTTCACCAATTCTCCTCACCTCTCTTTGATCGCACTTCACACAACACTTCTTCTTCTTCTTCTTCTTCTGATACTTTGGCGTGAAAATTGGGAAATAATTCCTCGACAGCACACTGTTCCAGTTTTACAGCATTTGAGAGTATCTCCACAGAAATGTGCCTGAGAAAATAGGTGTACTACTCTTGGTGAATTTTCTTTTCCGCCTCTCCGCTGGAAGACTTGAACACCAGCAGTTGAGAGAAAATTTTTCCACACCTGAATTTCACACACTATTCACTTCAAGCAGATATTCTTTCTCTCCTTCACATGAAATCTCACTTTGGAGTCTATCTCAGTGTTGTCCGCCTCCGCACAATTCTCACTTCTGTTCCATTCGTGAAATTCAAAAAAGGTGTACGGAAAAAATGTCCAACTAAAAGAGAAAAACAAAAGAGAATTTTCCCTTCTCTACGTCTTCAACTTCTTGCCGTTTTTTCCTTCTTCTTTTTCCGTTCGGTGTTACTACTTTGAAATGGGGGGGGATATACTTCTGCGTGCCTATATCCACAATCCAACAACCGCTCCCATCGAATTCCAAAGAGCAACTGACTCGATGTGTGCGGATTTGAACACCGTTTTCCCCCTCACGTGCTCCATCTCACTCCATCGCGCACCACGGATCATCTCCATCCCTCTCGCCCGCTCAATTTTCTCTCTCTCTCTCCGACACTCTCTATTTGGGAGCATTCCATTTAATTGTATGTACTTTGTGAGCAATGATATTTCCTTTCCACCTCACACACTCATTCAACATTTTATCCAAATCATCGTGGTATTTATGCTAGTCTCATTATATATGCTCTCTCCGGCTCCTTTTTATCACTCTCTCTCTCTCACACACACACGCACAACTCGATATTCCCATCAGGAGATCCTCTCTCTTTCCTTCGCGCGCTCTCTTTCCCTCTCTCTCTTCTCTTCTCTTTGGGAGACAATCGCGCACCTTCATTGATATCCTTTTCACGTGGACGTGATTCATTTCTTTCATTCATCACACAACTCCCCATCAAAGCAAAACATCACCTTAAGCGACCAACTATTCACTGCAAAAAAGGTTAATATGTAAATTTCCTTATTCCTCCACCCATTGCAAGTACTTACAGAATCCGTTGAGCCATGTTTATCAAGAAATGCCACAACAAAATCATAAATTCATACTTTAATCCACAGCTTAGTTATTAAAACACACTTTTAGTGAGTCACTCAATTAAAAATACATTTTTTGGACTTCTTTCTCGCCGAAAGTCAAGAGGAGAGAGAGGAAAATCAACATACAGTGTATTGTCTTATTGCCACACATGACTGAATGTCCCGAGTTGAAGAAAGTTCAAGTTCATAGATTTTTGATAGAGTTTCGAGAGTGATTTCTTCATGACACTGAAAATTCACCAATATGTGAAAAAGTGAAGCAACAGCACTCAGTGAAGCACGACGGATTTTAAATTGAGCATTTTAGCCAAACAGCGAGAAAGAAGAGAGAAAAAAATGCTCATAAATACTGTCATTTAGATGTAAAATACAGATAAACATGGTCGACTAATGAGCTCAATTTTCTGGACGATTTTCAAGTAATTTCTCCAACCAAAATCTGACCCACGAGGACATCTCTCATCTATACACCAATTTTCTCTCTCTTCTGCCCAACGATCATTATTATTTGTCACAATTTGCCAGTGTGGAAAAAATCATTTAAAAGAGGGAAAGAGAGAGAGTGAGAGTAACAAAAAATTATGTCTATAAATTACTGCTTGCATAGAAATGGAAGGGACACACTACACAAAGCGGAGTAAGGATTAATTGAATTCATACAGTGAATATGTATGTAAATTTCACTCACAATTCAAACACTCCACAGTGTTTGGACAAAGTGTGGGGCATTTAATTTCTCATTTTTCTGCATTTCTCATTCGCTGATGACTCTATCCCACTGTTTGTTCACAGTCAAACACATAGAGAGGCTAGACATGAGAATGATATGCTGATGAAAATGCCGGCAAATGGATAGAATTCTCTAAACCTACCTTTCTAAGTTTACGACCTATGATTTTATTTCAAACACTCCTCGCAAACATATCTGTAATTCATAAGCGAATAGGAATAAACCGCACTGTGACAATCTCATTGAATGCTTCATGACTCGAGAACACCTTGGCGAATTAAGAATGCAATTGAAAACGTTTAAAGACTGACGACCACGACATGCAAATGAGGTCAATGTTGCAAAAGTGATCTACATTTTATTGGTAGTAAAATGGAACTCATACAATTCTAAATTGTCTGAATGCATCTCGATGAGATGGAGATAAATCATCATAATTTGGACATCATCCTTATGACTTATCTTATTACAGGGGCACACAAGGATACCCTCATTTGTAAAATGCCGCAATATACAGATTTTTCTCTTCTCCGCTCGCTATTCCGTCACAACATTATTCTCACTCCTCAATGCCCATCTGAGATTACACACGTTACAAGCAATGCTATGCTTTCGTAGACAATTCCCGTGGTTATAGTAGTTGTACAAGTAGACGTTCGTATTGTGGAGAAACAGTATAGACGCGAGAGAGAATTTAAATGAAGTTAAAGTGTCCGGAAATATCAATTTTAAGAAAATAACACCCTGATTTATTTTAATATGAGAAAATTATATAAAGTTATGGGTCCCATTTTCTCCGTCTTCTCTCGCGCTCATCTCACTCCTCATATTCATCTCTCTCATCGCATCCCCAAATTCACTATTTACACATTTCAATACACAATGCAATTTTACTTCTCTCCCCGCCGCTATTCGCTTCCTCTCTGTGGAACTCACGACTGAACCTATCAAAACGGATTCACCTCTTTAACCACCCGATAAGTTATAATTTGTTCTTCCCTCTCGCTCGCGCTCATCGTCTCCATAAAGGAAATATTACAACTAATTGATTGAAATTGCTAGATTCACATTTCAGAGTGTATCTCCAATCACCTGTCCCCCCGCCGCCACCATCCCTAATACACACCTGGCACATGGCGAGTGTTTTTAATATGAAAGTGTGCGCCAAAGGTCGTCGAACGAAGATGACACAACTACAAGCGACACAGAAAATCACTGTACATTTTTCCTCCGGCACCATACTGATTCCAAGAGCATCACGAAAACTACCCGGGGGACTTTCCACCTACACAGCAAAATTGCCACGTGAGCACAACTCCTCGCACAGCAAATGGAATAGCGTGTGACATAGGGAAAAATCAACTCAAAACTCAATACAATGTGAAACGGAAGTTGACGATTTCCGGAATTCCATATATGAAATGAATTCTTGCTGATTTTGCATCCCTCCTGTGTATAAATGCAAAAACTTTATATATTTCATACTCTTTCACCTTCACAGAGTGAATCGCAGAAATATAAAAAAAAATACTCCGTACTTTTTCTGTATTGTATAAAATTAATTAATCAAAGCATTCATCATCATCCACAGAGACGAGTGACTTCAATGCCGGCAATGAGACGAAATTTTGCATTGCAGGCACATCAGAAAGAGTTGACAGTCAAGAGAAATAGAGAAAAAATGTGTGATTTACCGTGTAAAGTTTCTCGCAGAAGATCTTGCAAAACCTCTCGTCATCCTCGCCCTCGTGGCAGCACCGCCAAAGTGACTCTGAGACTCCCGATAGTCCCCTCCGTAGACAATGCCACTGCCCGACGTCCCATCGCCACTGCGAAAGTGCCCGCCGGACTGAGTCTGGCCACTATCTACCATCATGTGCTGCGTGAGGTGCGGATTTGTCCATGTGGTCGGTGAATTACTGGCCCTGTACACACTTCCGCCCGACCCATTCGCGCCGAGACTCGCACGACCCCGATCCGACGCAAAACCACCCCGACCTCGACCGACCCTGCTGCCCCGGATGCTTATCATATCCCGCGAAATCTTATTGTACCCCGTCGGGCCTGTTGGCTGAGCGCCACACGTTTCCAGAGCCAGGAAGTCATCCACATGCAGAGACGGTGGACGAGATGTGTTCGGCGGACGCGATCTGAACAAGTCGCCACGAGCCTGAGGAGTTCTGGGAAAGCCTCTCCCTCGCATCGGTGTCACTAAGAATTAATGAAAATGATAAAGTCTGTTAGTTAACATGTAAATTATTAAATTTAATTGCCACATTGCACCAAAATTAAAATTCAATCTACATTTTGTCAATTCAATTTTCGCACAAATTGTCAATTTCACTAATTCAATTCACTCTAATAGACGGGATTTGTTGCTAATTGGCAAAAACTCGCAATAATAAACGCAAATTAGTATTAAGCAAAACAACAGTTTAAACTCATTTGGGGAAATTTTCATGAGACATCAAGAACTTTTTGATTGTAAATGAGAAAATGTGACAATAACAACTCTTGTTTCCAAGCCATTCATTTAAAGTATGTATAAGTTTGGTAGGCAAAAAGGTGGAAAACTTACCGAATATCTTCTTCTCTGGTCGTCCGGTCGATGGCTCCACTTCAACACGACGCGTCCTGAAACAAGGAGCCGCGATGGGGCGCTCTCGCGTTGTCTGCGGCGACACCACCAAGTGTAGAAGTCTCTTACAATCTGCCACAATATTTGTCTCCGGTGGTAAACACACACGCACCATATCCGCCAGATCACATGGAATTTGTTCCATTTCCTCCACAATATCCTTCGAACAGACCGGAGAATTCAGCCAGTAATTCACCGTGAGCCGCTCTCCAACGCCCTCAGACACATCAAAAATAATTCTAGAAGCGTATTGTGTCACAATTCCTTCCGCTTGAGGCAAAGCAGCGTCGATATTCACTTCAAGAACAGGATCTGTGGCCGAGAGATCTCTCTCCTTATCAATAAACTCAACAATTTGTCGGATATTCTCTAGCATTCCTTCCAATTGATGTTTCTCGCAAATTTCCTCCTGATTAAGGAATTTTTGCAGGACTACTAACGCATGAACCTCCTCTTCGGCATCTGTCTTATCCTTGTCATTGGCCTCTGATGTCCAATTTATCATTGAGGCCAGTTGATTTCCCGACAATATCAGAGTCCTGGGTGGAATCAATTGATTCTCGCTGTCATCGACATCTTCAATAATAAAAAGTGTCCGCAGAAAGTCTATCAATGTTTCAATAACTCCTCTGTTCTGATCAACATTCTCTGTGAAATTTGCCACAAGTTTCTTCAAAATTCCCGCCACAGAAGTTTTTCTCTTCACAAATTCGATGTACAGCAAATTAATCATAACACTGTAAAGAGAAAAGTTATTCGTAAATAAGACGTCAAAACACACTCACTGTTTCTCCAATTCATTACTAACTACCATATCTATTATTTGTGTAGAAATATTCACAAATATCTCATGCAAATTAATAAATATTCATTTATCGCTATTAAAATTCATAAGTACCATCCAGACTGGGAATTTAAATTACTTCATTATTTCGTATTTAAAAAAAAACAATCACATTGATTTTTGCAAAGGACGAAATTGTGAAGAAATACTCACTCGTGTTCCGACATGAGAAGCATCGTTCGAAGCGATGTCAGAGGACATGGCATGGAGTCCATTGTAAAGTTGTCCAGGACGCAGTTGACAATGGGCAAGAGGAGTTCCTTGCTGGGAAAGGCACATGCAAGAGCCAATTCGCGGCTTTTCGCATTTTTTGGCGCAATCATCGTGATTTCCGAGTCAAGAAGCGCCTGTAGAGCTTCGTACACATTTTCCTGGGCTTGAATATGAGCTGCCGAAATATTCTCAGTAGACAAAATTGACACGAGGAAATCCATTAGTTTACCAGGTAGGATTGACAATACAGACACCTTCACCGATGGATGACTCACGAGGCTGGCAAAGAAGTTAATGAGGCGACTCTGGTGACTCGTGGCAACTCCATTTGTGAGTGGATCGGCCAAGAGTAAATTGACGATAGTCTTGGACACCATCAGACTCATATTAGGTGCCAGGTCAGCGAGCTGAAGGCACACGCGACTGAGTAACAGAATCAGTTGTGGATAGCTTGATGTGCAGAGACTCTGGATCAGTTCCACCAGATTCGATGACTGTGAGTGAAGGTGTGCCGACCACAGTTGTCGCTCTGTCACAATTTTTGCAGCTTCAGACTCACTAAGAACATCCTTGGTGGGAACTGGAAGTGGCAGGGGAAGGAGTTCCGAAAAAACAAGGAGTCCCGGGATGAAAGTCGATGGTCCTTTGAGTGTGAATTTGATAAGGTCCCCAATAAGATGTGTCCAGAGACTCTTCCTCACAGATTCCGTGTCAACTCCCTCTTCTGGTGTTGGCTGAGTATACACCAAGAGTGTCTTTATAATTTCCTCCTGAGCCATTTGAGCATCTGCATAGGCCGCTCCTGTTTTGGGCACACAATGCACCAGATTGTACACCTGGAGTAGCAACTCAATGGCAGTGGTATCTCTGAAGTAAGTGTTTCTTGCGAGAATCACACATGTTAGAATTCTCCTGAGCACTTGAAGACATGGCAAGAGGATTTGTATAGTCAAAACGCCCTGATTTGACGCCAATGTGGCCACGTGAACACTTGGTTGTTGATAAAAGTTTACCATCTTCTCCAGAATCGATGTCAGCAGAGACAATCCATCAGCAGAATAGAATTGCATCACGAAGAACTTGAATCTCAACTCCAGATTGTCATCTTCACTCTCATTCCACTTCTCAATTTCCTCTCCATGCGCATCAGGAATGGCAAGGAAACGTGCAATTCGCAACACTGTTATGAGATCACCGGGAAATGTTGTGAAGAAATCAAAGCTCCTCTTGATCACATCACAGAGTGACTGGACGTCATTGTACGAAAAAATTGTGGATATCTCAAGAGGTTTCATGTAAATGGCCATTTCCTGAAGCATTGCCGACACGGAGGATTCAAAAATCTCGTGACTCTTCACCACATTCACAATTGACTGTCCCGCTTCCCCGAGGTAGGCAACATTTGAGCTATTCCTAATGACACAATCCAAAATATCCACAGCATAGTTCAGCACAGGCGATTTGCACTTTCCACTCTCAGGATGCTCAGCGTAGTAATTCTTCTGGGCATTGATCAGCGCAATGATGATGTTGATATTGTTCTCCATTGTGAGAAAAGTCACCACGAAACATCGTCCGGGAGTCACAGTCAGTGCATGCAGTGCGAAGAGATGTTCCACGACTTCATCCTCGTCATCCTTTACGCATGAAATTGCATCCAGATAATATTTCGCCTGCACTTTGTAGATAATCTCCATTGCAATTTTGTGAGCCTTAATTTCTCGCCCAGGATTAGGGTAGGCATCCTCACTAGCAGCTCCGCCGTGGAGAAGACATCTCTGCAGGAGATTTGTCGTGGTGATCATATCAGTTAAATAGTTCAATCCACTGAGATTTCTCACAAGCGCCACAATCATCTTAAGTGCCTTTGCCATTAAATCCACTGAAATGGCATGGGAATTTGTCACGAGAAGCACTAAAGACTCCAAGAAGGAGTGTATTCGAAAGTAAGAGTGAAATCCATGCAATGTTCCACGACGCACAATTGGATCCTGCACATGTTCAATTTTCTTCACGATGGGATAAAGTCCCCTCGGCTGAGCATAACTCTTCTCATCCCACGTGTAGCCATTCACCACTTCGCCAAGACATGACGAGAGGAGACTTGCGTCCTCCTCGAGGATTTTTCCTCCTGTCTCGGCAAACCACTTCGAGGTGGTATCACGAATTAGAGTCAGCGACTCGTAGAGATTGATCTTCTTCACGAGAGCCTTCAGCGCGAATTTCACACATATTTTGGGATTCTCCTCCATCAACTTCAGCAACTCACAATATCGATTTGTCGAATTGTCTACTTCACCGAGAAAGTATTCCACTCCTAATTTCGTATCCAGCAGTGAAGAAATCGCTCGCAGGATGAGCAGTTGAAGCGACAAGGCCATGAAATCTTGCTTAAGAAGTGAGAAAAGTGACTCAAATACGTCGACTTTCCGCTTCTTTATAAGCATTATTACAATATCATCGAAGCATCCAAGATATTCTATAAGTCTTATGCCCGCTTTCAAGTGTCTCACTTTGTAGGTTTGTTGCGATGTGGCTGCTTCATAGCTCAGACCCACAATAATCCACTCAACTATGCTCTCAGCCTTTTTCTCATCCTCGAGCAACGTTTTAATGTACGGCACCACGATAGATCTCTCCCACTGATAACTCAACGAGAAGTATTGAATAATTTTCTCTGTAGAATACACCCAATTCTCCTTACAATCGTAACTCATTTCCGAGAAACTCTTCCATGACAATCCAGCAGAAAAACGACTCAGGAACTTATCAATGATCCAGGAAATTGCGTCAAACTCCTTCGTCAGTTGTTTACTGATTCGTGGTGTGTATGCTGTCAATTCCACTGTGAAAGGATTAAATGATTTTGTGAATTCATCCGCATATTCCTCACACTCAAAGTCCATGTCAAATTGGCTGTCGGAATCGTCATCACCGATCTCATCATCGCTCAGAATAGGCTCAAATTGCTCTCCAGAGCTTCCAATGTCCTCTTCAATAGCCGCCGGTGACTCCAGGGGAGTTCCCGTTGTCGAACTCGGACTCTGTGTTCTTCTCTGCTGCACTTTTGCTCTCTCCTCTGAAACTGCACTGCCGTGATCAATCACTCTGATTGGCTGACCCTTCCCGGAAGACATGTCCTCATCCGAATAGTTGGGACTCTCAGAAATTCTACGATCTGGCGACCGTGGGCGACGTGAGGAATCACTAGGCGGACTTTTGGGCCTCTTGCGGCCCTCTTCAAATTCGTGAGATTCCCTTGCTCTGTCATAAGATCTCCCATGACCATAATCATGAGACGTTTTCAACCTCCTGCTGTTGTGAGAATCTCCATCGTCCCTTTTAATCTCGTCTGTAAATGTTCTGGGGTCTTTTGGGGCATCTGCCTTTTCTGCCACCGTTGGATCTACTGCGCTTGGGTAGTTATCCGGCTGATACTCCTGATTTTCGTAATATTGTCCCTGATAGAGATCTCCGGATGACCCCGAGCGCCCATAACTCGCCTCCAGGGCCGGAACTGGGGCTACAGCCGTCTCAATTGGCCACTCCTTCTTCACCTCATCCTCCAAAGGTGTTTGACTGCATGAGGCTTCTGCGGCTGGGGCGACTACAGCGCTTGCCGGCGGAGAGGCGATCTGTTCAGTGATGTTTTTCGTCTGTGTGCCATACACAGCCAAGGTAATTGTTGTGTACCATCCGCGGAGCACTAGACCATCTGTCGGAATGGATCGCCCGCCAATTTCCGTCGGTCGGCACTCCAGTTGGATGCAGTCATTCTGATTGTACTCAAAACTGCCCAGAATCTCAAAAGTGGACGCGCCCGGCTTACTCAAGTCATTCACGAAGAAGTCTATTGAAAATTTCGAGGGATTAGTCGCGCCCAATCGCACACCCCCGGGAAAATCCGCTTCCACTCGCGCTCCCAAAGGAATTATCCGTATTTCCGTCACATATACGGGACGGGGAAACTGCACCAAGTCCAAATTGATTTCCTAATCACCAAAAGACCACCAAAACAAAACAATTATTGAGGTTAGATTTCTTGTACATCGTTTTCCGAATGCAATTCATGATCTTAACACCAAACTTTTATGTCAATTTGTAAATGGGTACTTGAGGAATAAAACAGATGAACTTACTTCGTTGATTTCATGGGAAAAGGTGTCGAAAAACAACAATTCCGGCGTATCGTCTCCTGCCACAGCATCCATTTTTGTTCAAACTGGTTGACACTCCCTCAATGGAACACCAGCGCGGTTGGCGATAAGCACGGGAAATGCGATGACCCGGGTGAAGAGTTCCACTCAACAAACAATAAATAGGGGAATGGAAAAGAAAATAGAATTTTTATATCCGATAATATGTATTTATTGCTGTGCTGGTTGCAGTATTGAAAGCAAATGATTAATTACAATTTTTCTTTCACCCTTTATCTGAAAATATTTCATACGAGAACACATAGTCGTGAGATAAACACAGCACATATTTGTGGGTGGTTCGAAGTGATGTGAGTCATCCAGTCGGGCTGTCATAGATGGTGGTTTTGAGTGAAAGTTCAGTGTTTGTGGTCCCGAGAAAAGTTGAAATAGTCAGTCAGAACGACAGGATATTCATTTGAAAGTACATAAAACCGAAAGTTAAAGTCCCCGAGGAGAGCCACAGGATAAATAATGTCGCATATCTACAACAGTACCAAAGATAAAAGAAGTATTTTGCAATTGCACAACCAAGCGACGGTCCTCAGTGGTTTCAGCTCATTTGAGGGAGACGAAGATTTGGGAGACTTTAGTGAATTTGATAGGTAAGATGAGAGGAGAAAGTATGATTTTTCACAATGGCAGATCTAAGAAAACACTGCTCTTTCCCTTGCAGTGAATCCGTGACATTGGACTACTTCAAAGAGAGGTAAATCGGTGTCACGCGAGTCTCCGGAGGTGGGAAAGCGCACTCACACAATTGCGTCCGCGGAGGCTGGCAACTGCCAAAGGAAAAATATTCATATTGAGCTCAATTATTAATGGCTATAAATAGCCCATTTGAAGGCATGCTATATGCTCAATGATCACTCAATGCGGTCGGGACTCACGAGAGATTGTGAGGCGCCACGAGGGAAGAATCTCGGGCCCAAAAAAACCGCCAAACGCCCGTGTGACTCGATTCTGTGAGCGGAGCCCTCCCACTCTCCCCAGGCGTGTGAGATCTCGCCGGACGGAAGTCCCGAGATCGACGAAAAAGTGGAGTAACAATGAAGCAATGCAGCAATTAACATGTGAAAAGCTGAATCTTCCCATTTGCTGTTGAGCTCATTAATCCGCATGAATATTCTGTTTTTCTTTTTGTGAGTGTGTTTTTTTTCTATTCTCTCTAAACCCATATTTTCAGCCAAAACGCCCGGGAAATCTGAGACGATTCTGTGCGAAAAGAACAGTGAGACGCGAGTCTTCCAACGCGCAAATTGTGAAACTCTTATAAGACAAACATAAACAATCCACTCTGTTATCAATAAAGACTTGCAAATAGAAAAAGGCCACAGTGATAAATGACCATTTCTCAGGCACACAAGATTGCACAAGAAAGAGAGCATAAAGTGTGATAAAGTGACGCAGAATCTCAAGTGATTTCCACACAGACACCAAGAGAATTGAGTAAGTTACATTGGATTGCCTGTTCATTATTCTTCACGCATGAATTAATGGTAGTTTGATTAGTGAGAATATTTGATGTTGTGTACGATAAGTCCCACACAAAGGTGATGTCAGACGGAAGATGAGATTCTGAAGGACGGCAGAAGTGAATTGATTCTTTTCTTACTATTCACAATAGCCGCTGGCAAATTGTATATAAAAGCACTGACTTCACCTGGAATATTCGAAGAAATCCACCGATGGCAATAAATCTCATCCACTTGTCTTCTTATCACTATCACAATGTCAATATTTGTTCAGAGGGATTTTCCATAGCGACATCAGAGTTGCATTTACCCTAGATTAGTGGCAAAACGTTTTTTTTTATATTATTGGAAGATTAACAAGTATAAGTTGGGTTTATTTAAAACTCGAGTGGATTTTGGAAAAGTCAACCAATCCAGGAACCTAGATTTGTTTGTATTCAATCCTTATCTCTGAAGCAGCATATCTGTTACAGACTTCTTATTGTGAGCGTGGATATGTTTTACATCACACCGTCACGAACGATAACGCTAATGTGTGACTTCTTGTCACTTGTTATCACTTTGACGACATTCTCCGAAAAGAGATTATTTCATGTTATCGATTACAATCATTGTTACATTTTTATCGCCCTTCTGCATCAATAGTCCGCATTGAAACAAGTCACACACCGTGTCGATTTGGATGTGCTTCCGTAATTGAGAGTGTCATGTGTGGATTTCTCGAAGACATTGGATATCTCCGATATCCGAGGTTTATCTTAAGTGCTTCCCAACGCTGAATGAGCTGACATAATATTGTTTGTCTTTGCATTCTCTTCCAGTTCCCGGAGACCGTCCGCCTCGAAAATGGCTCCAACAACAACGATAGAGACTGTTACCATCACGCGTCCGTTGAAGGTGAGCGATTTTCAATTTGGACCATGACTCATGCACACACGCGGGGGAAATTTCTCTGGGGTGGAAAATGCGGGAAAATTGTAGGAAATTCTATGATTCTGTCGAATGAATATTGGTGGCGACGCATGCGCTCTTTGTCAACTAAATGGCATAAAATCTATGGTGTTTTCTCGCTCGCGCCAACAATTTTCCACCCGCACAAACTTGGCGGATTTCATTGGAAAAATTGGTCACCCTCTCTTGCAACCGGTGATATTTGTGAGGGTGAATGAGACGAAGGGTGCTCACATTGCTGAGAAATTTGATCTCCTGTGGAAAGTGGCTCTCACCAGACGGGCAGACTGTAGATTGTTGTGGGTGAGGGAGGACAAAAGGTGGAAGACGAAAAAAAAACCATCAAAATTTTCACCATTGGACTAGTTTTATCCATTTTTCCTGGAGAAAAGTGTTTACTTTTCCAGTGAGAAGCACAAATTTAGCCTCCAAATGAGACTCATAAGTGGCAGTGGCAGTGGGATGAAAGTATACCGGGCAGAAGGAGTGTGAAAGAATGAGAAAAGGCGGAGAAAGTGTTCCTTGAGGGATTGGTGAAAAGCCAGAACAAATGAAGGTGGGATTTTGTGCTCAATTTTCCTCCTCAATGTGTGCGCGTCTGCGGATGGAAAAGTGTGTTGATTGAAATCAGAATTTGGACATTCTCGCACCACCCATAAAGTCTGGTTGAGGGAGAACGGCTCCTGGAAAAAGCCCCAATTAGGCTTGGTGGTCACGCAAAGGACGCGCTCAGAAGGGGGGAAAAAGTGGGGCCAATCGGGCTTGTGTGAGGACGCGAAAAGGGAAGGCAAAGTCTGTTTGTGGTGTGAAATGTAATCACAAAATGGCAATTTTCACAAAGGAGGATCGAAAGTACTGTGCTGAAAATGTGCTAAAGTAATGCCCAAGTGACCAAGAGGAACTGCAGTGAATCTTGCGGGGTGTTTCTCACATCTCTTTTCCCCTTTTTTCCCAACCACTTTTCCTTTGCGTTCTCATTCCATAGTTCCACGTAGTGAAAAGTCATCCACCTCACCCTGGGAGAAACGCTAAAGACTGTATGTGACACGGAAAAAAATCCTCTTTGTGTTGAGGTGTGAAAATTAGTGGCGAGGAGGAGGGCAGAGGCACAGGAAAAGTGTGTAAGGAGCAGAGGAAGAAATGCGTATGCGTGCAGAAATCTAAGAGGAAGAACCACAGTGGAAATCAATTGGATGGAATTTTTGGTCTTTTTGTGTGTGACACACAAATATTCGGTGGAATTGCAAGAGTAGCAAGTGAGGAATCAGCTAGATTTGCGGAAGGAGGGAAGCCTCCTAGGAAACCGTGAGGGAGAGAGAGAGACTCAAATCGCAGAACCTTATGGGGGCCAATCAAATTGCCCAGGTTTGCACAAACTTGCTCAATGTTTCTCCTAATATTTATATAAAATTATTTTGACTCTCTGTTTATGCATATTCTCAGCCAGAGTTATAAAAAGAATCGTTTAATGCTTAATGATCACAGCTAAGAGTCCAAGATATTTTAATCAATAAAAGATATTGACATTTTAATCGAGACTGAAAAGTCTGTTCCAAATTATTTCCTTAATTTACCAATTCACTGAAATTATCTGAAAATTATTTGACGAGAAAAGGTCGTATGTTCAAACAATATTCTACTGTCTGATAGAAAGCTTAATCAGAGAGTATCTATAAATAGTCTTTAATAGGATTAAAACTCTAAATTTACAACAATGACAATAAAATTGTCAATTTCAATGAAATATGCGAGTCAATTGAGCGAGATTTTTCATGAGTTGAAGAAGCATGAAAATTGAATGCTGAAAGTTTTAAAATCACAAAAGGATGAGTGACGAAACATTCATCATTTGATAAATTGGCAGGAAAGTTTTTTCTACAATTTTTTATTTGCATATTATTTATTTTTTTCACGTCCTGTGGGTAAATTTTTAATGAGTTTTTAAAATAAATGTACAAAAATGGATATATTACACTAGGCAACAAAAATGACACTTTTTTCTGCCCTTTTTTTTGAGGTGTGGATTTTCTGATTCCTTGAGTCACCAGCTTTTCAACGGTACCTTCCTTTTTTCTCTAGACCCTCAAGTTTTCCTTTTAGAGCCTATTTTCCATTTTCCACTATTTTCACCCACTTTGCCGCACTTATGTGCTCATATCTCACCCAATTTTCCACGGATTTTCCTCAAATTAGGCTCAAATGATAGCTATTGAAATTACCTACTACTTTGTAAAACATTGTGAGTGTTTTAGATCACTCCTTGTTGGTCAAAAATGATCTTTTGTGAACCACTAGGTAAAAAATTCACCGGGTTTTTTACCACTTTTTTCTAAATATCTCCGAAACGAAGAAACTTTTATGTTGGATTATTTTTCCTATGTGTAGAGCACTTCAGGGGATGCATTTCCTCCATACATGCCGAAGTGATATTTCTTCTCTATCTGCCGGAAAAACGAGGTTTTTCCTCGACAAATTTCGCTTTTTTATGCTACGCGCACCCGCTAAAAAACTGAAAGAAGGTACATTTTGCTGTATACGCATTCATTTAGATAATGATAATGCTTAGATGTTAAAATAAAAGAGAAAAAAGGCCAATATCTCGACTTTTTAGCTATTTTACGTGAATTTTTTGTGTTTTTTATAGACTTGTTGTCAATAAAACCAAAAAAATACCTAAAATAGCTAAAAAGTCGAGATATTGGCCTTTTTTCTCTTTTATTTTAACATCTAAGCATTATCATTATCTAAATGAATGCGTATACAGCAAAATGTACCTTCTTTCAGTTTTTTAGCGGGTGCGCGTAGCATAAAAAAGCGAAATTTGTCGAGGAAAAACCTCGTTTTTCCGGCAGATAGAGAAGAAATATCACTTCGGCATGTATGGAGGAAATGCATCCCCTGAAGTGCTCTACACATAGGAAAAATAATCCAACATAAAAGTTTCTTCGTTTCGGAGATATTTAGAAAAAAGTGGTAAAAAACCCGGTGAATTTTTTACCTAGTGGTTCACAAAAGATCATTTTTGACCAACAAGGAGTGATCTAAAACACTCACAATGTTTTACAAAGTAGTAGGTAATTTCAATAGCTATCATTTGAGCCTAATTTGAGGAAAATCCGTGGAAAATTGGGCGAGATATGAGCACATAAGTGCGGCAAAGTGGGTGAAAATAGTGGAAAATGGAAAATAGGCTCTAAAAGGAAAACTTGAGGGTCTAGAGAAAAAAGGAAGGTACCGTTGAAAAGCTGGTGACTCAAGGAATCAGAAAATCCACACCTCAAAAAAAGGGCAGAAAAGTGTTGCACAGTGTTATGTATTCTGACTTTTTAAATGTATTTATATGCATGATAAATTAATGCTCAACATTCAGATTGAATTCAGGCGAAAAAATATGTCAGTTTTATTCGTCTCATTTATCCCAATTCATTCAGAAACAGATATTTTTTTCATATCTAATTTATTGACAATATTCTAGATTTAATTTCAACAAAATAGTATCGTTATGCATGACCAACTGTGCAAAAATAGGCATTAAATCATTTATTCAAAATAAATATAAATTGTATTCAAAATTAGCAATCATTCACGAACTCTCAGTTTATTTTAATTGTATATTACATAACCAAATCATGAAAATCGATTTATTTGAATTCTAGAAATCATTAGTCAACATAATTTAGTAAATTTATCTACTGAATTTCTGAATCATATGAGATGAATAAATTAGACTTTATTCACGGTGTCCAAAATAAATACTAATCAGAGAAATGTTGTTTATGCATAAAGTGCGGAAACAAACTTTGATTGGTTTATTTAAAGTTTTTAATTGAATTGTCGTTGCACAATTTTATCCTACTATTATTTCAGTCACTAATTTAAATGAACAAATTGTCGGTGGTGAAAATGCTCTGCCTTTGGAACTTGTCGCTTTAACCGTAAAACTTTGGTCGAGAGGAAGTTTTAAAATTTTCTGATTCTTAAGGAAGTGCCGTAGTTTGATGTGGAGGGAATAAGAAAGGCCTGTCTCATTATAAATTATGTTTCTGTGGTGTGGAGTTTCTCTCCTGAATCTCTGGCTAGTAGAAAGAAGTGGGAAAGAGGACTACAACAAAATCCTATAATTGACTTTATAAATTATAGGGAAGAGAGAAAATGGAGAAATTTCTCCTGGCGTGCCTGAAAAGTCTGCACGAGATAAAATTTGACAGAGAGAGAGAGAGAGAGAGAGAAAGAGAGAAAATTCCGGTGGGACGGGCTAAATGGGATACTAAACAAGGAAATTTTAATGAGCGGAAGAAGTTTCCTGTCATCAGGAAATTCGCCCTTTTCAGCACGATGCGTGCAAGTGAGGGACAGGAAGGAGAGGAAGCATGAAAAATGAGATGGGAAAATGTTTGGTGTGATGCCCAAAGTGTTGTATGATTTCTCTCATGACAAGTGATAACGAGATAAAGTCCCCGCAGATTTAATTTCATTGTGAAAATATGAGAAGCGAATGGGGTGAAAGTTTGAAAATACTCCCGTCTGACTCTGAGTCTCGGTGTGGCTTCAGATTCGTGGGGTGTGTGAGCAACGAAAAAAGCGACAGAGAGAGAGAGAAAGAGGTTTGAAAACTTTTCAACCCTGTGCAATTGTCGGTGGCTGGGAAACATTTTCGTGGTTTCCCTCTTGTTTCCAACGGCATGTAATTCTCACTGGCTGATGTGTCTTGAAGTACTCACGGAATTGTTGTCTCTTCTCCAGGTGATTGCATTCATCTGCGGCCTGATTGTTATAATTCTGATGATAATGGCTTTGGCATCCACGGACTGGCTCATGGCTGAGGGTTGGCGCCAGGGACTGTTTGTGCACTGCATCGAGGAGGATGTCGTGCCGCCGCTGCCCTTCAACCTGCAAGATCCGCCGGGATGCTATCCCAGTCGCGATGCCGCGTACATCAAAGCCACGGCGGCCCTGTGCATCATCACACTCATCACAGACGCGATCGCCACGCTGCTCACGGGACTCGGGCTCAGGACTCAGGATCACAACATGAAATACAAATTCTATCGAATTGCTGTGCTCGTCATGCTAGTGGCGCGTAAGTTGAATGTGAGCGCAATTGTGGCTGCTAGTGCTGACAAAACTTCTCCTTTTCAGTGATCTCCATCCTGATCGCCTTGATTCTGTATCCAGTTTGCTTCGCGGCCGAACTGAACTTGGGTAATCGTCCAATATGGGAATTTGGGTGGGCGTATGGCGTTGGCTGGGGTGCTGCCATTTTCTTATTTGGAGCCGTTGTCCTCCTCCTTTGCGACAAGGAATCTGAAGAAATCTACTACAAAGAACGGAAAATCGTTCATGAATCTCAGATGCGAGCCTAGGCCAGGCCGCACGCCCTGCCGGATGTCGTTCTCTAGACATGTTTTAAGTACATCAAAGCATCATCAAGAGATAAAGTATCATACAAGTTCTTTTGATCACTTGATTTCTTTTGGAATTCATTTCTTTGGTTTCGACATCAGTATAATTTTTGATGTTTCTAACTCTATCTTTTTTTTCTTTCTTAACCATACATCAAAGAACAAGTCATGCTTAATTTTTTGGAACAGGAAAAGAAGTCAAAAAAAGCAATTTCATCATCCTTTTTGAGAAGTCAAAGACAAATCATTTCACTTTCATGATCGACAAACATTTAACCAATCACGAAAATATTGAAGATATAGAATATTCAGTGTCATGATTAAAATAGATAAATATAATTGTACTGGAAATGAAAAAAAAATATGGGTGTAAAATGCCGAATGGATAAAAATTGCAGAGGCAGCTTGAGAAATATCATCCAAACTACCCTCTAATTTCAACCTGTCCTATCTTTTTTGTTAATATTGTATAGTAACGTATCAGGATTAATTTAGTTTTTAACGGAACCACACTTAATTTAAGCACTCCCGCATTAACTATTATACACAAATCATCAGAATGCGGAATTTCCCTGGAATTTGAAAAGGAAAAAATGACAAGTGAACAGCAAGAATTATATATCGATGGAACATAAATGTTTTCTATGCTTTCTAATTGTCTAATGTGGAAAAATACACGCGAAGAAAGACAGAATCAAACTACGTAATTCATAGAATGAAATTGAAATCCCTCTTTAAAGCGTTAATATAAAGAAAACTGTGTGTGAAATACGATAAATTCTTTCTTTTATAAATTAATTTTATTGAATGTGTAATTGTATATTTTCCTTCTCTATTATTGATTTATTTCGAAAATGTAAGAAACATTTCTCTCTCTTGTATACCAAAAAAAGGAAAGAACATATTCGCAAAAGTAAAATTGTCAATATAAAATTATATGGAACAAAATTTGAGAAAAAAAATATGCGGTCAAAATTGAAAGAAAAAATTGTAGTCGAAAATGAACATAAAACACTCTCGCACAGGATTTGGGTAAATTTGAGGTATATATATATATAAATATATATTATTTTTTATCTAAGTAATTATAATTTCGTCAGGAAGCTCATTTCGACAACAGGAAATACATAAAATGAAAAATAGCGAAACATACTGCAGAGGAGAAATCCACAGAGAAAATTTGTCCTCATTTCACAAAGCCAAAGCATCTCACATATTTAGCCTTTTACATGAATTTTGTGTTTTCCAATTTCGTGAAAGAAAGGAAGAAAAACTTTCTTTATCAAATCACATTATTTTCACTCTCCCAAAAACAACATCCTTCATAAAAATTCTCCCCCAAAGATGTTCATAAAGCATGCAGAAATACGAAACTTGCAGTATAATTTAATTTGGTAAAAATTTTTATAACTTTTTCTTCTCTTTTTTGCTTAATTGTTAAGATCTTTTGTTGTATTATGTTGTACATCACTGAGAAAGTTTGAAGGATTTTCAAAATAACATCAAGACACGCTGGAAAGACGCATGAAAGAGCATTTGAGAGAGAGAGAGAGAGTAAATAATCATCGGGAAGAGAGTAAACAATGAATTAAACGGAGGGACGAAAATCTTCAGTGAGAAAAGAATCCATCAATTCACAAAAGTTATCTAGCGACGAAATTTTTAGAAGATATTGATAGGAGATAGAAATCGATAAAAATTTTACCATTATTGACACATTGTGATCTAGTGAAAAACGGAGGCAGGCACGTGCGGAGTGTAATAACAAAAAAGAGAAAACAAGAATTCAAGTAAAAACTTAAATATAATTGATTAGAAGGAGAGGAGAATTAGGAGGCGAAAAAATATAAATTGTCATATTGTGAAGGAAGGAAAAAATTGCAGAAGGAAGAGTGGAAACAATAAGACAAACTTAACTTGAACATATTAATGAGAAGAAGAGACGGAGTTTTATTAGAGAGAATAGAGGAGAAAGGAAGAAAAAAGAAAATTTAACTCAGTAAAATAGTTTTTGTAATTATGATAAATTAAAGAATATATATTATAAAAAAAACGTACAGCATCTAATTGAGATTCTACACATTTTACAAGTTGAATTGATGATATACATAGTAGAGAAACTACTGAGACTCTTTTTAATGATAAACACCACGAAATTCTTTCATTTTTTCTGAAAGATAAACTGTGGTGAAATTGCAAAATTATTCCCTCGTCGTTAAAATTGTCTTTGAGTTTCACGTGAAAATTGTGGGAAAATTTAAGAGGAGAAAATGTCAAAGGTTTTTCAGTGACCAAACATTTGCAAAGATTGTCTTCTTGCACATAAATTTAGCAATTCATCATTTTGTATTGTCTTTTTTGGAAGACTTCAGAGGTTTCCAATACTCGCGACTAAACATTTCTCGCTTAAATTTACCCTTGAATATTTCCCCACAATTCATCATTCAATTTTTATTAAAAAAAAAAAGAAAAAAGGAAAATACATAATATCACAACTCCTTTTCACCAAACAATCTGACAAGCAACAAAATATCCAGCTAAAAGTTATAAAAATAAATGATGAGACGAAATTTGAGAGTTTAAGATTCATAAATTATTAATTGAAAAATCGAAATATTGAAGGATAGATAACAAATCGAGAGACATTTTATAAGGAAACCAGAAGCAGTAGAAGTAGTAGGTGCTGTAGCTATAAAGGTACTTTAATCAGGACTTTAAATTAACTGTAAGGTCAAAAGCCCAATCATTTCTAAAGACAAAGAGAGCCACGTGAGTAAAACAATCACTCAAGAGAAAGATATAGAAATCTGAAGATATACTTTTACCATATGTTACCCAATTTTTAATGATGAAAAACAATATTTAATGCAAACATAATTGAGGTGTAAGTTTTCTATTGAGAAAAATATGAAATTTTGAATTATATAAGGAATAATTAATAATTAATATGTTCTCAATGATTTTTTGGACGCAAATAAACAGTCACTTTTGAATGGGAGGAGCGAGAAGAAGAATTTCAGGACAAGGATTTATAATATAATTGAATATATCTTCAATTATGCAATTACATTTTTCGTGTGGTAAACACCAAGAGAGATATTAAATAAATAAAGGGATATTAATTGAAAGTGAGAGTTTTTCCTTGAAGCAAAATGAATACTCAAAATGTTTCGAAAGCGCTTCACAAATTTTGTTTCTCAATAGATGGCGCAACAAGACATAATGGCGAAATCTTATCCCGTATGCCCAACCTTCAACTATACGGTGATGCTTTTCAAATTCACTCTATTCCTGCATTTCTCGTGTTTCATATTCTGCAATTATTTTCCGAATGATTTTTTTCATAATGTACAGCACACAAAATACAGGATTTACTCGAGTCCTACGCGTTACATCGATATGGACGAGTAATCTGACGCTTCATGCAGAGACGTCTGTGCCCTAAGTATATGGTTGAAAAGTAGAGGGTTGATCAGTCGGGTTACCTTGATTCTTGGAGAGCGTACGCAGAAAGAGTGGCTGTGCGTTTTGGTGAAATTAGCAGTTAAAAAGTGCTCCTACGGGCAGCATCAGGTGATTATTCTTGAGTCTGCATGCTAAACTAGGGTCTAAACGTGAAATAAACGTGCCAGCTTAGTGGGAAAAGAAGTTTGAGCGGTGGAAAATATCAGCTAATTTTTGGGCAGAGAGAGAGCTTGTGGCACAGAAATGGCGTTCAAAGTACACAATGATGGAACATTTTCGGGCACTTCCGGCGCTGGGCCCCACAGCAAAGTATCGGCTATTGCTTTTGTGGGGCGTGACAGTGATTTTTCGCGAGGAAAATTGTATTTTCCAGCGGGTTAACCTCATTTTCCCATAACCTCACACAATCTTTCATTTTTGCCGTACCAAGTTGACCGCCATAGTGAAAAGTTGAGTCGCTCTCATCTCTCTCAGAGAGCATCTCTCTCTCCCGTGAGATTCGCTCAAAAGAGGCTTTGTTTCTTGTGTTTTGGGAGTATTTCCGGCCCGAAAATTCTGTCTGGAGCAGAAGTATGTAGAATACTGGTGTTATAGGTAGTTTTTTCGTGGGGAGAATGATTTGTCTGATCCGGGAAGGTCTTGGCGTTGGAGGAAGTGTCGATAAGGCAGATCGCATAATGTTTGATTTACATTCCAGGCTCTCTTGGCCAGGAAGTATTCATCCGCCAATGCCATGGATGAGGAGGAAACCTACCAGATCGAGTGGATTCAGAGCGATGGGGACGACGGGGAGGTCCTGGATGATGGTGACATAATCCAGGAGGTACCCGAGGATGACGGTGTGGATATGGATCCGGGAACACTCAATGAAGATGACATAATTGAAGAAGTGGACGACGATGAGTACATTGCTGCGATGTCGGATCATCTTCAGCATGATTCCGCCGGGAATCTCGTGTACATGTCACAGGACGGATCGAGCATGGGCAACATCATTGAGGAGCACGTGCAGGAGGCCGAAGTGGAGGAGTACACAGAGCAGCAGCAGTTTGATGGGCAGGTGTGCGAGGAAGTTGTCATTGACGAGAGCGGCGTGCCGGACGACAAGATGGAGATTCTGATTGACAACAACGGAAGTGTCGTCCAGGACGGTGGGCAAGTGGACGAGGAAATTGTACCGCTGCCGCCGCAAGATGAATACACAACATCACGGCCGTATCCGTGTGACTTCTGCAGTCGCCGCTTTAGGAAGAAAGCCAACCTCATGAATCACATGGTGGCCCATCAGACGGACAGGCCTCATGTGTGCAACCTCTGTGGCGCTCGGTACATCCGCCGCTGTGACCTGCACAATCACTTCAAGATCCACGCTTACGCACCAACAGACCACGATCTCGGTGGCACAGAGTTCCTCGCCGGTCACAACGACGAGGAGGAAGATGACGAGGAGCAGGACAAGAAGCCCTTCGTGGAGTACTCCACAATGTCGGTGAGTCCGCGGAAGAAGGTGCAACAGGCATCGCCGCGTAAGAGGACGCTGAAGGTGGGCAACAATGCTCGTGAAATGCCCAAATACGACTATGTGGATGAGGACATGAAGCTGGTGTGTGACTCAACACAGCCGGCTCAGCATGAGGAGATTTATCCGATGGTTGAGCAATTTCCAGTAACGGATCCAAAGAAACCATTTGTTTGTCAACACTGTGGAGTGTCCTTTGCCCGTGAGAAGGCTTTGGCCTCACACGCTAGGATGCACGGCGGGGATTCACCCTACGAATGCGAGACATGCGGTGAGTTGAGCACGAACTACCTCTGAAAGATGTGATGTTCAATTTGTAATGTGTGACTTTTCCCCTTTCAGGCGAGATGTTTTGGGATCCAATTCGCTTGCGAGAGCATCAGATGACGCACAGAATGGATCAAGGTAGCACTTCTGAGTATGATGTTGTGGCGAATGACGAGGAGACAGAGTCAGATTCCGGCGAGGGTGAGGAGAAGTTTGGGGATTTCTACTGTGACGTGTGCGGAATGTGTTTCCATCGTCATGCCCTGCTGAAGCGCCACGCAAGGGCACATGTGAAGAAGGAATTGGTGGATAATGACATCTCCAGGCACTGCTGCAATGTGTGTGGAGAGACTTTTGCAGAGGCGCTGGATTTGTTGGCTCATGCTGAAGTGCACGCACGCTTTCAGCCCTTCAAGTGTATGCTTTGTGGCGAGACATTCCTGGATGAGACGACCATCAAGGAGCACATTGACACGACTCACGCTGACGAGTTGACAATACACTCGTGCCGATTGTGTGGCAAGGTGTGTCGTGACAGTCGATCACTGATGAAGCACGCGTGGGATCACTCCAGGGAGAAGACACATTCCTGCTCCAAATGTGCCAAGACGTTTCACAACAAGGCGCGCTTGAAGCGCCACATGATGTCGCATCGCAACAAGTCCGTCACGTGTGACGTGTGTGGCGAGAAGTTCCCGGATGGTCGGAGTCTCATGAACCACCGTCACTCGCACACAAATGTGTCAGGGCGACAGTTTCCGTGTCGGGAGTGCGGCAAGACGTTCGGGTCGCGCAGCTCGCAGCAGATCCACATTCGCATCCACACTGGAGAGCGTCCGTACGGATGTAAATACTGCTGGAAGGCGTTTGCCGATGGTGGGACTCTGCGGAAGCACGAGCGTATTCACACTGGGGAGAAGCCGTACGCGTGTTCCGTGTGCCCCAGGGCGTTCAATCAGCGAGTCGTCTTGCGGGAACACATTAGATCACATCACTCAGCTCCGGATTCACAGCGCGGCACCACAATCACTCCATACTACTGCGAGGTGTGCTCTGAGATGTTCGCCCTGCCGACGGAGCTCATTCAGCATCTCATCCAGCACAGTGATATGAACACACTGGCCAAGAGACAGCCACCGGTGAGTTGAAATCTGCTCGAAAGTTCTTTTACAGCTGTGATGCTAATCTTCTTTTTGTCTTGCAGACGGGTCCGCGGAAGTACAAACGACGCCGCAAGTTGAAACCCCATGAATTGGAACGACTTCGCGCGCAGCGCTCTAAGAACTCTGATGTGGATTTGTCAGAGGACGATCCCATGCAATCAGAGGTGGGAATGCAGGAGAGATATCAAGCGTCACCGGTGGTGGCACAGGGCAATTCTGCCGGCAATCGCCAAGGTGGAACACCTGCTCGTCGTTCAAGGAACACTTTCAATGTTGATTCATTGGAAGATCGTCAAATGCTGCGCTCGTCGGAAGACTTTGAGACGTCCGTGGCGAAATTCGACCTGAATAAGGGTGCGAATACGCGCAAGAGGAACCTCGTGGCCGCGTCTCTGTCCGCTGCGGCTGTAGCTATGCCAGGACAATCGCGTCCAAAGATGATTAGGACGCAGAAGACACGCGTTGCCGTGGAGGATGGCAAGAGGCGGACGCGCACACTCATCACACGCACAGCACCAACGGATTTGGGCTCTTCAGCTGGATCAGCGAATCAGGCAAATATGACTGCTCGTCAGAAACAGACGCGAGCAAGGATTAAGAATGTAAACTATCACTATCAGACTGATAGGATGATGAGTCCGGCGACATTCTCGGATGTGAATGAACAGATCACGCAGGATGTGATGAGTGTTAAGCAGGAGCCGGTGGAAATGACGGCAACGGCCACTGTTCTTGAGCATGACGGCAGTGGCTTGTCGAAGAGAACGTACAATAAGTACAGCATGGATATTGTCAACGATCTTGAGGCAATTCTCAGGTCTCCCATCAAACAGTCACCCTCTTCTGGGAGCCAGAGAGAGATGAATCAGGTGAGAAAGGCAATTTTGATTGGTGTTGAATGGTTGTGTGAATTAATTTTCTTTTCTCCAGGTGTCTCCGAGTGAGCCAAGTGCCAAGGGAGCGAGTGCTGCTGGTAGTAAGAGCAGAAGACAACTTTCGACTCCGGGAAAGAAGCGGCTGCAGGCTGAACTGACTGCCGTATCGGTGTTGCCCGTTTTCTCCAATGCCAACCTCACGAAGCGTCAGCTGGCTCTCGCGGCGAAGAAGAGCGCCAAGGGAACCAGTGACAAGGATGTGTTGCTGATAGCGAAGGAGGAGAAGGACAATGAAGTGATCACGGGCGATATTGATGATACGGGCGTGATGAAGAGCAACGCTAAGGAGTTCAAGTGCGAAATGTGTTCATCCATGTTCTTCACGCAGGATGATCTCTTCACTCACGTGGCAATTCACATTTAAGTGTGAGGATTAGGCAGACCACGAGCATCACTCTGAGAAACTTTGGTACATTAATGGAAGGATTCAGCAGAGGGATCTCTTTTAATTTAGAAACAAAAGTAGGATACTTAAATAATTTGCCATTTAAATTTGTATCTTTTTTTATCTCATTTCTTCTCGTTAGATTTCTAAGCAAGCAAAAATTGTTTCAATTTCACGAAAACTTCGTAGAATTTCGACACAATCATTGTGTTTGAAAATTTTAATAATGTTTATATGATTCAGCCATAAAATATAATCCTATTTTATTACAATACATTTAATGCGCGACATTAATTGAGGAAACATAAAGGATTGTCTTATCTATTCATATTTTATTATTATTAATGACATTGCTATTGTATGCTAATTGGCAGATAAAATGTTAAACAAATGTAGCGGATATGAAAAATAAATTGTACTACGTTTGGTCGTAGTTCTGAATATTGCAAGATTTACTAAAATTCACAACTTTACTTAAATTGCCACCCCATCATAGAAGTTTATTCACAACCTGTTTTTTAAAATTTCCCACCAAAATTAGGGTTGTGTCTGAGATGTTCGATTTTTCACCGACTGAAGTCTTTGGGTTCCCAATCACCAGAGGCGCTGCCGTCGCATCGCTGCAATTTTTCATCGATTCGGCACCATGGCGGCTGCAAGGAGTACACGTTCCCATGAAAATCCCTCGAATACCATCAGTTACGTGCAGTGCGATGGATTGGTGAGTAAATGTGCAATATTTGTGATCCCAAGAAAGTGTTGGATGTAAAATTTATCTGGCACTGTGGGTGGAAATGAGTAAAAATTGCAGTGTTTTGGTTCCACGTTTCATGTAGGTTATGGGGCGCTATCAGTATTGCTAATTTTCCATCTCTTCTCCGCAGGCGGTGATGAAAATGGTGAAGCACTGCCACGAGGAGTCCATGAGCAACATGGAGGTGGCTCAGGGCGCCCTCCTCGGTCTGGTAGTTGATCAAGTGCTGGAAATCACCAATTGCTTCCCTTTCTCCAACAATGAAGACAATATGGATGAGGATGACTATCAAGTCACGATGATGCGTCGCCTCCGGCGCGTCAACGTGGACTACTTCCATGTGGGCTGGTACCAGAGTGCCGACGTGGGGAATTTCCTCTCGCTGCCGATGCTCGAGTCGCAGTATCACTACCAAACAAGTATTGAGGAGTCCGTCGTGGTGATTTATGACACCCAGAAGTCCGCTCGTGGCTTTCTCACGCTCAAGGCGTACAGATTGACGCCGCAAGCGATTGCCATGTACAAGGACGAGAACTTCACCCCAGAGGCTCTGCGGGCGCTGAAGATCAGCTACGAGAATCTCTTCACGGAGGTGCCGCTGGTCATTCGCAACTCTCCACTGACCAACATTATGATGATGGAGCTCACCGAGCTGGTGCCCGAGGAGGACGGCACGCACTTCCTTGACCTGGGCACGGCTTCGGTGCTGGAGAACCACCTGCGTTGCCTCATGGATCGCGTGGACGAGCTCAACCAGGAGGCGACCAAGTTCAACAAGCATCTGCAGCAGGTGAATCGCCAGGACCAGGAGCGGCATCGTGTACTGACGAAGCACGCGCAGGAGAATGCTGCTCGCATCGCGAAGGGAGAGCCGCCACTGCCCGAGGAGGACATCAACAAGATGTTTAGGCCAATAACGGTGCCGCCGCGACTAAATCCCATGATTGTGTCCGGCCAGATTAACACCTATGCGCAGCATATCTCGCAGTTCTGCTCGCAATCGCTGGCCAAGCTGTACATGACTCAGGCCCTGCAGACCGCCAAGGAGAGCAAGCAAAACTGATGAAGATTAAAATAGATGGATCTTTTCTCAAAAGTACTACGTAAGTTGTCTTTTATTAATTTCACCATGAAATCCCTTTTGGAATCGTACATTTGACTGGATGACTTTACTGTTTGGGGGCTTTCGTTCTGAAGATTCAAGAGACAGTGCTGTGTATGGTATTGTGTGGGATGTGTCGATTATATTGCACTTAAATGTAATACGTCCAAAAAGGAGACACCTAACAAAATACCTTGCACTACCATTTACGAGGACACTTCCGGGAAGGGTGAGTTGAACATTCTCTAGACATCTCTATTTTCTTTTGATTCTCTTTCACGAATTATTTTACAAATAATCTACGGAATTTGAAAATTCCTTCCCAAAATATCCTCGGCAAACAATTGGACTAGATAGGATTTTATATTATAAAACTATTCACAGAGATCATCTACTACACTATTCTGTGAACTCAATAAATTTAACATCATTACAATTTTCCCTTTTATATAGAACTGAAATGACAAAATAGAAATGGAAAATAAAAAATAAGGAATGAAACTTAACATTATGGCTTTATGACTAGAAGAATTATACATTTATGGCACTCCTAGAACTCCACGGGAATATCATTCTAAAATATTCTTAAGTCATTAAACACTACAAGATTACTATTTCTACGATTTACCCAAAAAAAATGACTAGACATTGATTACGAAAATATTTCACAATTTCTTGTCTTTATACGATTTCTTAGAAAAAACACAGGGGAGAGAAAACAAACACCAAAGCCAGAGTGTGACTGTTTCGTTTCTTGTCTTTTGTGCAGCGGTTTTTCCATTGTTACCACAGATTATTTCTTCCTTTGTCCTTTTACTTTATCTAAATATTGTAAAAATTATTAAGATTCTCTTATGGTTAAGTTTTGTTCATGGATTTCTTTCTTTTCATATTATTATCAAGTGACTAGAAAATATGTTTATGCTAAATAATTTTGGTTAGTTTATGCAATTATTCGCAAAAAGTGTTGTGTTGGAATGTCCTTAAATCATGTACATGTCGAAGTTGTCGACAGGCATGAGGGGAGCCGTGGAATCGCAGAGATTCTCTTCGAGATATTTGGCTATTCGCGGTGGTAGATTCAGCTGGGGGATGTCGTCGCGCTTCTTCACCCTCTTCACGATGGCAGCACGGCAGCGATCCTGCAGATTCACGAAGTCGCGACGACACTCAGACAGAAACATCTCCGTTTTGGCCGCCGTGGAGCACACAATCGGGTACAGAGGCTCATTCACCTACAAGCATTCCCGAGATGTGATGGTGAGTCAAAGAGGGAGAGGGAGAGAGAGAGAGCTTCCAGATTGACGCCTTACCTCGTTGAGACCTCGGAAGGCCACTCCAAGACATCCTCCGTCCTTGTAATACGTCAATGTCCCGGCGATTCCGTCGAACAGCAGACCCACAGTCGTGCTCTGATTCTCCTTGAACTTCTTGGTGTAGTGCAAGGCGACGCCGTTGTGCCAGAGAAGTCCTTTGTGCGATAATCCCCATCCGTTCTTGTCCTCGCCCAGGAGATTTATGAAGCTATTCACGTGCAGGCGCGCATGTTTTGTCCCAATCCCGAACATCATGCTGAAAAACAAGGAGTTTTGTGAGTGAAAAGTGAGTCAAATGGATCAAATGTCAGAGCGAGGAGTGTGATGACAAATTACCTCGTGCCGAAGACCCTTTGGGAGAGCTTCAGCTCCCAATAGTAGCGTCCATTGTTGAGGATTCTCGTTCCCCTGATGCCCGCCGTTCCCTTGCTCCAGTTGGGATGGAAGTGCACCACTCGATTTCCCGGGCCGCTCAGCCACACTTCTGGCGACCTATCGCGCCGATTCCATGTCCACAGATCCTGGCAGCCGTGCTTGAGTGGCGTTTCGCCCTCCCTTCGCGCCTCCTCTTTATTCTCCATGTTTTCCATTCTGCGTGACTCCTCAGCCGTGAGTCATCTCCCATCCACGCTCTCTGCCACGGAGTGCCTGTCTACTTGGCCCTTATCTTGCGTGCCTGCTTCCTCAAGCGAATCTGCTCGCACAGCCGAGCTCGCTCCTCCTGCACCAGCCTATTGTACGCTGCACTGCCGCCCCAGCCACTCGACACGGCCGATCGATACGTGCGGCATTTATTTTTGGCCGACGGAAGGAGGAAGATGTTCTTGGGCCTGAACAGCCGCTCGTACAGATTGAGGACGAGGTCTTGCAGGTAAAGACAGATGGACCGGAAGAAGATGAGCAGCAGCAGGATACTCATTAACCACCGGGCGAATTGTGCGGAGCCGTAATGTGATCAGAGGCGAGAGGGATTTCCTTCAAGGGTTAAAGTGAGGGTGGTTTTTCTTTTCAGCCTTCCACAAAGGGTGGGGGTGGCACTCATTCAGACTTCACCACGACTTTTTCACCCCTCGGATCGCCAACGAGGAGGAATTTCACTGTGCAGACACTCTTGGCCCCTCGCACAAGAGATTTGACCACTTCTCGACACAAGCACAACACTGAGAACTTGGAAAAGTGAGGATTTTCCACATTCCGTGATTTTTCAACCCCTACTCCACATCAAGTGAATTTTTCGCCATCTTCAGGGTGAAACGCCGATTACGCAGATATTGCTCGAGGTTTGAGAGATTCTCAAGTCAACCATTGCCAAAATGTAGAGGCGAATGAAACAGAAAACGACACCCTTTTTACCGTTCAAAATTATACAGTTTATGGAGTAAAAGAATTATAATTAGAGATTGTAATTTTTCGTGAATCTCCAAACTCTTTTGAACCTTTTGACTAGTAAATAATAAATTTTTCTGGTTCTTATTCACTGCGTTCAATCCATTCAATCGCTATATCTGTGACCTTGTGTTGGAATATTTCACCCTCGGACAGCAGCGCCACTCGCGGTGGACACTCTTGTTCGCCCTATTTCGCCGTAATACACACACTTTGCGTGAGAAAGAAAAAAAAGTTGTGTCGCGAGATTAATCATTGTCAATAATTGCGTCGCTTTTTCCGAGGCTTGCAATTGCAATGGATTGCAGTGGGGTGACTCAATAGAGAGACACGATGGCGTCAGTGTTGGGCGAGGAAGAGTCGCGGTTCTTCCCACTGCGCAGTGGGAAGGATGTTGTGGAGCTTTTTCGACGCCAGCTGGAACGCACAGCTCCCGACCTCACGATGCTGTCAATTGTCACGGGCATCATTGAGAACACACTGACCCGCGGCGTGGAGGTGGCCGGTGTGACGGCGTCACCGGGCAGCGTGGAGGAGCTCAGCAATTTCCCCGTGATCCCCATTGAGGCCGTGGAGCTGTTATATAAGAAGTTTAGGACCATTCTCGCCACTGTGGAGGGCAAATCCACCGGTCGGGCGTCTCGCCGGGAGTACGCGACGCGCGAAGTGATCAAGAGGGTGTCGGATGTCATATGGAACTCCCTGATCAGGAGCTCCTACAAGGACCGCGCACACCTGCAGAGCCTGTACAGCTATCTGGCACACAACAAGCTGGATTGCTTCGGGGTGGCCTTCGCCGTGGTGGCAGGATGTCAGATGCTGGGCTACTCCGATGTTCACCTGGCCATTTCCGAGGACCACGCGTGGGTGGTGTTCGGACGCACTCAGGACGAGACGATTGAAGTGACATGGCATGGGAAAGGCTTCGAGGACAAACGCGGGCAACCCGTGTCCGCGGGAGTGGAATCGCAATCCTGGCTCTATCTCTGCGGCCACCCGGTAGTGTGCACGCGCCACATGGAAGTGGTGGCTCTGGTGTTGGCCATAAATCCCTCCCTCAGCATCACAAGTGCATGCCTGGAAGTGACTGAGCTGCAGCAGCAACTTCTGTGGCTCCTGTACGACATGGGCCACATGGAGAAGTACCCGATGGGTCTGGGTAGTCTCGGGGAGTTGGAGGAGATGTGCCAGACGGACAAGCGGCCCGCCAGTGAGGAGCTATACGAGGAGTCCGTGAGATCTGCCCGTACGCACTACAAGAACTACCACGTGTATCCCTACACATATCAGGGAGGCTACTACTACCGCAAGAATCTCTACAAGAACGCCTTTGCGTCGTGGGCCAACGCTGGGGATGTCATCAGGATGTGAGTAGACTTTCCCAAGCATTTTCTCATTGTGTCATTCACACGTTAAATATTCAAATGACTTCGCTCTTATTCGGGGTCACGTCGCAATTGCAGAGGGTTTTCACACCACTGATGGGGAGAATCCTTTGCAATGTTTTCAAAAGGGACTTGTTGTTTACAGAGAAAAAATCAATAACTTTGATGACTAATTTATTCTGTGCCTTTTTGACCTAATTTTGCATAAATTTCACACAGGTACATTTATTCCCGTGACGATGAGGAGATTTATAAGGAGTTGCTGGACATTGCCAATGAGCAGATTCCTCTGGTAATGAAGACAGAGAGTTCAGGACATTCGGCACACAGTATTTTGCGGGATCCTCAGTGTTTTGCCAATCTCTTGAGGTATAACGCAACGTTGCATGGATTTTCCAAGAAAACACAGAGATTAACATGTTTCTTGTGCAATTGCAGGTTCTACGATGGCATTTGCCAGTGGGAAGAGGGCAGTTTAACACCGATTCTTCATATTGGCTGGGCAAAACCGCTGGTGAATACCATTTCCAAGTTTGACTACGACATTCGGTCTCAGGTGACCATAAATTGTGCCAGTGACGACGACGATGTGCAGTCATCGCTTTCCATAGTCAATCGCAAAGAGGCTACCAAGCATCACACGTACGAGGAGAGTGTGGAGGAGAAGCGGCGACGGGATGGGATGAACAACAACATAGTAATCCATGGGAAGGAGGATAAGAGTGCGGGAGATGGTGTGAAGGGTTGCAAGGAAAATGGGAGTGAGGATGTGGCGAAGTTGCCGCCGACGCTGGAGGCTCTCACCGCTGCTTGCGGTGAGAAGATTCTCAATCCTGACTTTCTGCTGCAGGGCGGTGGACAGCCATTCACGGAGACACAGCAGACGCCACCCGAAGGTGGGCAGAAGAGTGTTTCCGAGGCGAAAATTGAGGAGACCAAGGCGCCGAAGGAGGAAGCCAAGCAGGAGAAAGATGAGAGCAAGAGTGACAAGGAGGAGGCCAAACAAGAGGCTGAGGTGAAACCCTCAAGTGATCCCGCGAAGGGTGATGGACCAAAATTCGAGCCCAAGGATGACGAGGAGGAGTTGCGACCCAAGAGGCCCGTGATAACACTCTACAGCCACAAGATGAAGGGATTGAAGGATCTCCTGCTGGCGGAGAAGCTCAACACCCACGCCATTTCACTGCAGGTCACGGCACAGAGCCAGGTGGGTGGCAAGAAGGTGAGGAGCGGCGTCTTGTCCTCTGGTGGCCAGGGCGGAAGCAATTTCCTGCACTCTGTGTCACTCGGAGGATCGAGTTGCGACAGTGATCTTGGCGGAAGCTCGCGCCCCAAGAGATCGAGACGTGAGTAGACAACTCTATTTTCCCTTTTAAAAGGCTTTAAGTTTGTATCAACACAGAAAAGGTGGTTTTGGCGAGACTCTTTGCGATCAAGAGTGATTTATATATTTTCCTACTACTTCTCTATTAAAATTCCTGTGCAATAGTGCCATAAAGATTGTGTTGAATGGACCATACAAAAGTGGGAAAAATTATTATTTTTTTTTCTAAATTTTTGACATTCACTGCTATATGAAGAGTATTATACGTTGAGATATGCGGAATTCGGGTCACAGAGAGTCTCGCCGGCGAAGAGTAATCAGAAAGGCTTTTTCAATTGAGAAGAGAAGACAAATGAAAGGAGCAAATCAAAAGTATTTGTAGGATGTTTTTTTTGCAAATATTATTTTTCTTACATGATTTCCCAAGGAGATCAGTAAAAATATTGTTTTAAACAATACAACTATATACTTCCTAGAATTGCCTAAATATTTTCTAGAATTATACGTTTTTTTTTTTTTAATTTTATTGCATTATTATGTCATATTGTCTCCCTTTTATTTATTTATCTGTTATTCTTTTTATCCTATTATTTACCTCGATGTTTTAAACATTGCTACAAGCCTGTATACTGAGTAAATAAAATGCAAATAGAATGGATTTGTAGTAAGAGATGAAAATGATGATTATGAAGAAATTGTTATAAAAGATAAATGTTTGGTTTCTGTTGAATGAGAGCTGATAAAAGATGGGGCGAGGGAAAATGAATAATTGTTATAAAGGAAAAGTGGTGAAGAAATTGTTGAAAAAATTTTATTCGTTTTTTGTTTATTTGTTGCATTTATCCAAGATTCAAGAGAACTTAAAGAAAAAACAACACCTTTAATTGAATGAAGAAAACAATACCGCAAAACACGTTAAAAGGATTAAGTGGAGGAAAATTGCGTGTGAGAAAAGTACAAATTCCGTGGTTTCTTGTGTCTGTCGAGAAAAAAAAATGCCAACAAGAACCATTAGAAACTTAAAAGAAAAATATTGTTTAACTTATTCAAAAAAAAAAATGGAACATGAACGATGATAATATGGAAAAAAAGCTTTTACTTTCTTGGAGGAAATTGAGAATTTTTCTAATGAAATTAAAGCATTAAATAAATGGTCTACGCAGTGGACGGTAAAAAATTTTTGAAACAAATTTGCAAAGACGTGAGTGGACAAAAAGAAATCAAAAGGGGTGCTAAAGAATTTTTTGCTGATATTAAGAAGGTGAAAATCAATTCAAAAAAAACCTTACAAGAGCAAAGTACACGTCTATAAAGAACAGGAAAAATATATATTTTGAGAAATAAGAGTAAAAAGAATCAAATTGAGGGTTCAAAATATGGAAAAGAGACAAATGCAAAATTTTTAAGGAAAAAAAACACTTTTCTATCGAGCAATTGTATACCTAAACTCTTTAGTGGAGGACTTAATGCCGCACTTTAAAAAATCTTGCTTTTTCATCATCTTGAGATATTTTTTCCTTCACATTTCTTATATAAAACATTCTCAACCTATGCATGCGTCTGACATGTTCTTAAGAAGAACTGGGCGCAATTGAGGTGCTTTAATGTCTGCAAACCTATACTTTCTCACGTAGTTTCTTGTAAGACAATAATTGAATTTAATAGCTTATAGTTTTCCTAAATATCAGTCATAGTTTTTTTTTGTTGCAATTATCATATTAATGAAGCGCTTCTTAGTATTTTAGCGAGGAACATAATTTAAAGTAATGTAATAGGTCTTTTTTTAATTGATAGCTTTTTTTCTATTTATATTTTATTAATTCTTTCAAATTACTGTGACATTCATGCAAATGATATGATAACTTAGAGCTTCTATATTTTCTGCACTGCAAGCATTATTAGTGGATAGATTTATTTTTTGAGAGAAGGAAAAAGTGAAAATATTCCCTAAGAATTGTTATTTATTTTCTAAGTTCTTCCTATTCGCACTGAGCACAGTATTTTTGTCCGTACAACATGTAAAAACTTGTTTTTGTAACACTCTAAAACAGCGACAACGTAAAGTTTTTCTATCTCTTTGTAATCCATGCCTCGGCAGAATTAATAATATATTTAAAAAAAAAATTGAAAATGTGTTGATGAGAGAATATCTCGAAAAAAATTTGTTTGCTATTTTATGTAAAAGGAGATGACAGAAATATTTATGGAGATAAAATATTTAATCATAAAGGCAATGTTATATTAAATTTCAATATTAGTTGATCAGAATTAATGAATAATGAGAAATAGACTCAGTAATACAATGGGATTATTTGAGAAAATGACAAAGAAGCTAAGAAATATATCCGTAAAAGAAGTTACACAGCGTCAATATTTACTGCATATTAAAGAAGAGAGAGAAGAATAATTCTTAGTAGAGGAAAAAAAATATTGTATTCAAAGGTATTTTATCAGTGCATCAAATCTCCTTTTTGAAGATGTATCATCCTATATTAGAAATTTAGAGGCCTGTGATGCAAAAAGAGCAAAATGCAGAATTTAATGTAACCCTCTAGTCTAGAGTCTAGAGAGAAAGAGAGGGAGTAATTGTTTTGGCGATGACTTCTCTTCTACTCCCACTCCACTTCCTGTGTCTCTTCCTTTTCACACACAAGTACAGTAACAAGTTTCTATTCAATTAAAAATAGTGAAAATATGCTTTTAATTCACGTTACAATTAAATGCAAATGAGCAAACAATCCACAAATAAATAGATGAAGAAAAAGTACACAATATTAGTAAGAGAAAAAAAAACTAGAGGACAATTGTAGGCTACAAGAGAAAATAATCTTCTGAAGAAAAATACATGAATTTTCTGTAATTTGATGTTATACAATTAAAAGAAAATGATTATAGATGTCAAATAAAGAAAATATAAGCAATACGATGTGTTTTCATCAACTTAACTTCGCGAAAGCTCGTCTCCGGTGATTCTCTGAAATGAACTTCACACAACGCATGTGTGCAATATATTAAATTTCGTATATTTGCTCTCGAAATTATATACATTCACAGAGACTTGCTCATGTAGGGTCCATCAAGTTCATATCCGAGCTTCCTGTAGTAATTCCTCGTGCCCACGCCCGAGATCACTGATATCTTTGAGCTGCCGTGCTCCTCGCGAGCGATCCTCTCGGCCTCCTCCATCAGCAGCACCCCGAATCCCTGGTGCTGGAATTTGGTGGGATCCCTCGCCTTCACCGGCACCACGCTTCCATACACATGCAGCTCCCGCACAATCGAGCAGTCGCCCACGAGTTCTGGTCTGAAGGTCTCAGCGGAGCACTTCCTCAGGCGCAGCAGGCCAATGAGAATATCCTGATGGGGATCCTCGTACGCCAGGAAAGTCTCCCAACCACCATTGGCCACGTAGTCTCGTCGAATGAGCTCCACTTCGTTGGGGTGAATATTGTTGTGAATCGCCTGAATGCCCACCTCGCGAGTCCTCACATCGCGACAAGCCGTGCCGAGATCCTTCATCCTGGCCAGCGCCAATTCGCGCAGATTTCCATTCTCCACACCAGACGTGACCAGAGGCATGGGGATGTCCCTCTGCACGCGATAGATCCTCGTCCACGGTGGCACCAAGGCCAGAATGGTGGCGATGAGGTCCACCAGAGTGGACGGTGGGTAGGATTTGTACCTCCCCGTCTTCCACAACTCATACAGACCTGTGCCGCGGATCACGAGGGTCGGATAGATTTTGAGGCCGTCCGCCCGGAAGTCGGGATTCTCAAAGAATTCCACAAACTGCTCAATATCCCGCTCGAGATCCATATTCGGCAGATTGGGCATCATGTGCGACACCACCTTGAAACCGGCATCTTTGGACATGTGGAAGCTCTCGCAGACCGCCTTCACAGTGTGCCCTCGATTAGTGTCCTTCGCAATGTCCTCGTAAACGGATTGAACGCCAATCTCCAGCCTAGTGCATCCGTAGTTCAGCATATCGCTGAGGTGTCTCTTCAGACAATAGTCTGGGCGTGTCTCTATGGTTATCCCAATGCACTTCACCTTGGAGCGCTCTGAGAACCGCACAGCTTCAGCCACATTGGCGCTCGCGTGGCCAGACAAGGCATCGTGAAGATTCCTGATGAAGTAGTCACGATAATCCTCAGGAAGACTCATGAATGTCCCGCCCATCACAATGTACTCCACCTTGTCCACAGAGTGGCCGAGTTGCTTCAGCTGCTCCACGCGATTGTACGCCTGAATGAAGGGATCATAGCGCGCCCGGATTGCGCGCATGGACGTCGGCTCGAAACCAGTGTAGCTCTGCGTCGAGTACTCGAAGTCACTGTCCGGACCTCCTGGGCAGTACACGCAAATGTTGCCCGTGAAGTTGATATGAGGACAGCGATGGGGCTTACACATGACAGCCACAACGGCGATTCCACTGGCGGTGCGGATGGGCTTTGCTCGCAATTTCGGCAGCAAAATAGGCTTGGCATCTTCCGGTATCGCCGCTATTATGTCGACTAGACGAGGAGTCTTCTCCAGGCCATATCTGGAGGTTATGCTAGCTTTCAAGGCATTCAGATTCACATCGACACCCTGGTGGTGTGCCCTGAGGAGTGCCTGAATGATCTCCCCAATCACAGTCACTCGTTGCTCCTCCACAGTCATCTTCAACAGAAAGTTCGAGGTTAGAATAGAACTCCGGCCATTTCTCATCCAAAATCTCACTAATTTCAGAATATTCCACGTTTTTCTCACAAACTAGAGCATGCCAAGGGATTTTAGGGTATTTTTCCAATCATCTCACCTGTTCTTCCCCTGTTTTTCTCAATATTTACTTTTTCATGCAGACACAACACACGAGATTTGTCAGACTACTTATGCTTCATTGCATTCCTCCTTTTACAGCTTATGCTTCACAATTTCTGCAAATTTCTGTCGTTTCAATAATAAAATTTATGAAGATGCGAAGGGATGGGAAAGTGTATAAATAAATTATTGCGAAAGCGGGAGTGGCGGGATGACTTCGTGCATCGCATATTTCCACGTCCAGTTCCTCGCCAGAGCCTCAAATTTTGATCTGTCCGTCTCATAAAGTCGTCCCAGGGAAGGTTCCATACAAATCTGGAGAGAAGAAACATCATGTTAACTTGGGGAAGTCAAAGAAGGATCGAGGACAAAACTTACCTCTGTGAATGGATCCGTCAGAAGACTCTGTACTGACAGAAGGATCTTTGAAATGGTGAGCGCGAGTGACCAGTTATGCTGAATGATATCAATGCCAACGTCTCCGTGCCGGGACACATTGGGATGAACGATTTTCGTGAGGAATCTCACTCTGGGCGGAAGCATTGGGTAGGACTGCGGGATGACGATGTAGAGGAAGAACTTTCCTCCCTCGTACGGACTCCCAGGCGGCCCCAGAATGGATCCTTGCCAGTGTGAGAGCTGATTATCCAGTGGCACAGCATCGATGCCATCCGCGGCGCCCGTTTTTAGACACATTATCTCAGATCGCAGTCGCTTCATCTTCATGAGATCAACTAAGCCACGCAATGGCGTCTTCAGGGACATCTGGATGAGGCAGGTGCGACAGAAGCAGGACGCCATGAGAGCGGAGTACATGTCAAACCAATTCGGAATGGTGGCGATCTGCTGAAACAGTGGCCATCTCTCTCGCGTGTACTTCTTCCACATGGTTTCGCCCGTGTGCGTCTGCAGGATTCTCTTCCATTGCTCGCACACCTCGCTGGCGTTCCACAGAGATATGTCGTCCAGATAAGAGAAGATCTTGAGGAGTACTTCCACGGGAAATATCTCAATTCGACTGGAGTTCCTGTCAGCAACACGAGGTGCTGACAAGAGTTCCAAGTATTGATTGAGATTCCTCGGCGGAGTGGGTTTTGGCCTCTCAAAGGCAATTTCCACAGCATTCATCTCCACCTCCTCTGTCTCCTCATCGCCAACATCCTCGTCCCCCACCTCAGGATCATCGTCTTCCTCCTCCTCTTCCTCTTCCACTCTCTCGCTGTGAGTGGAATTTTGTGGCGGTTCGTCATTCCCAGAATCCTCATCGTCCGATAACTGTGTCACTACGACTTCGTCGTCCGTGACAGAGGGAAACAGAAATGCGTGGCACGTTCCGCACACCGGTTGCCCAAAGCAGGGACCGTAGTATCCATTGCAGACCCAGCAGGAGGAGAGATTCTGCGAAACAGCATAAATGACAATTGCTCTTCTGAGGGCTCGAAATGTACTTACAGAAAATGCAAAGTTATCGGAGAAATCCTTCAACTCCTGCACTGTGTCACTGGAATCACTGTCGTAGTCAATTTTCTCATCACCCAAGTTATGTTTGGCATTGTATGTGGCCATTTTCAGAGTGGAATCCTTCACAGGACACGGAACAATTTCTTAGGCCAAAACAACCGAAACACCCCCTGACTCGCCTGATGCCTATCCGGCAATTCAGCGCGCTGACTTACCCGTGACACACGCCGCGGAATGACACTCTCGAATAGTCCGTGGAGTTTATAACCTCAATAATCACTGTACGCGCGGATGCGACAATTTTGCTGATCAATGCAGAAATCTGAATTTGCAGTTAGTCTGATCGTATCTGTATACGTGAAAGATGGAGAAGCTGGTGAACAAGCGGGCGCTGTTTATTAAGAACTTCCCACCGGTTCTCTCTCTGGCCGATAGATCTCATTTGCTACAGAATGTTGGAGCCAAAGATGTTGCCATGATTGGTGGCAATTGTGCACGACTGACTTTCAGCACGGAATCTGAGGCTGAACAAGCTCTTCACCGGCTTCATCAGATGGACCTAATGGGGTATGATGTTCTCTCTATCAATTCCTGCGCAAATTTTTGACAATCATCTTGATATTCCAGGTACAGAATCTGCGTGACTTATGCCAAGGATTGCGGCTTGAAGTACGAGCCGGCCGTGAGTGGTATTCCAGTGTACAAGGAGAAGGAAACGGAGCAGGACAGTCTGGACGAGAGCAAAGACCGCATGGAGAGCTTTATGCAGAGCCTAATGGCCATCAACAAGAATCTTAATTTCCTACAGCCACCTGTATCTTATCTGCGCTACAATTATCCACCACCCACGGTCGACATCATCCGGGCGATTAGCAGGCAATTGAAGGCTGTGCCAATGTTCTACACTCAAGTCCTGCACATCATGAACCGCATGAACCTCGTGCCGCCGTTCTACGAAGTGGGGCCCAGTCAGGAGTTCTGCAATGTCAGCACACAGGTCAACCTGTCGAGCGGTGTTGACAAGACGACACAGTATTCCAACGCCAGAGATCAGCTCGTGGCGACGGACGAGAGTGAGCTGGAGTCAGAAGAGGATGAGAGTGTCAGGACAGTGAGACGTCTGGCAGAGAAGCGCAAACACGTGACAACTGAGCCTGAGCGCTCCAAGAAGATCCGGACTCTGCTCGAGGCCGAGAAGCACAAGAGTCTAATGATAAAGAGTCCGCAAATCGCCAAGCCGGAACCATCGGAAATATTTGAGAATGCCACCCAGATCTTCGCCCTCCCGAAGAAGATAACCCTCAAAGTGCCTGATAAGATCGATGCACAGCCTGAGAAGCCACCGTCCTTGAGCTCTTCTGAATCTTCTAGCAGCTCGTCCTCCTCCTCGGCGTCTAGCCTGTCGATCAGCTCTCAAGAATGCGCCTTCCTAAGCGATAAGGATCTCGAAGCCAATCGCATCCCGCCCGATCAACTTGAAAAATTGCCCGTTTTTGGCCAGTATTCAGCCGGAGTGCCGTCAACTCAGCTCTACGTAAAGAACATTGCCAAAGAGGCCACTCAGGATGATATCTGGCACATCTTCCGGCGCTACTCCAAGCGCAAGGAGGATATTAAGATCGACTGCAAGTTCCAGGGGAAACTCCGCGGCCAGGCATGGATCAAATTCACCTCGGAAACCGACGTGAAAGTCGGCGAACGCCAGGTCGATCGGGCTCTACGTGAGGTTCACGGCTATATACTAAAGAACAAACCTCTGCACGTCTCCTACGCCAGATCTGTCTTCTCTCAGAGCTCAAATAAGACAGAATGATGCTCGGCAGATTGTCTACAGTGCCGTTTTTACCTTTTTTTTCTTTTTTCCCAAATAAATACACAATGAAGTGATTTCCTGTTCTCTATTGATTATATCCAGTATTTACATCCTATAAAAATAGTTGTATTTTCTTGCATATTAGAAAAATTAAAGGATTTAGCCTTGGATTTAGCTATCAGGGTATGTAAGATTTTATAAATATTCTCTTAGCATGATTTTCAGGATATTTTTGTCACTTTTTAAACATCACTAATGAATTGTCTTTCGCATATTTTCCTCCAAATGTGCTGGGATATAATTTTTGCATATGTTCATTTTAGAATAGATTTTCTAAAAAATAGATATATACTTTTTTTTATTCTTTGTGAGATTCATTGTTTCAAAGATTTCTCACTAGACTCTGTTTCGCCTGCACACGTCATCGCTCTCCAAAAAAAAAAGTTTGGGGGAAGAAAGGGGGAATTAAATAAGCTGCATAACAAAAAAAAAAGGAAATTATCACAAAAATTTTCATATTCGCTATATTATTTATGAAGCTAAGAAGTAACCAAAAGAAAGAAAGAAAAACATTTTTACTTTATAATGCATTCCCCATCGGCATTTTTTCACATTACATAAATAGTATATTTCTTTTTCTCTTTTCTTTTTCAATAATCTCTCTGTCCCTCACTAAGCTAGTTAATAAATGGGCAAGACATTGACATGAAATTATTATCATCTACGAAGAATCATTTTTATCATTGGCTTTACATTACGTTTTAATCCACTTACTTCAATTTGATGAAGAAATAATCTATGATTAACTTGATTTTTTCTGCCTTTCCATACAGTTTCGGTGGAAATTTTCTCCCCATAATCATTTATCATTCATTGTCATTTTTTCACATTGCACAACACACAAAAATCGCCTTTTGCCACATTTTCACGGAAACCCCTAGTATTTAACTTCTAAATAATGCCATTTCGCTGTTCATTGAAATCTCTTCAGGGGGGAAAAATCATGGAAATTTGCCCACAATACATAATCTCTTAAGAATTCTTCTCGAAATTTAGTGAATATTTTCTGGTTTTTCAATTAAGAATGAGAGTTTGATACATTTGAATTGAGTACCTACATTCTTGTATAAATGCAAGTTCTCTAGTTTGTAATTTGAAGTAGTAAAGATGAATATCTTATATAGTAGATTCTGTATGCTTTCGAGAAGAACCCCCTATCATTAATCAGCCCTACTCAGGTGAGCTGCTCCTTCGCATCACGTAGTTCCTGCACGGTGTGCTGTAGTTGTCCATGGGAGGATTCCCTGTGCGCTCAATGTATTTGGGTGAGTAATCGTGTGTCCCACCAACGGTGTGTCTCCGTCTGATGGAGCGGTTGTCATACCGTCTGTGGTGTCCCTTCGTCTCCTGCGAGTGCCTCTTCTTGTTGATATTCTTGTCAGTCTTCTCATCTTTGGTCAGTGGCACACGATTGATCACCCGATGATTCACATGACAGCAACACTCGCCACCCTTCTGCTGGCTCTTGTAGTTCAGCGATAGCGACCGATTCATCTTGGTGGTGTTTCTCTCCAAATTGGTCAGAATGCGATTCATCTTGCGCAACACCTCAGAATCAATATGAATGGGGATGCTCGTGGTGGAAGTGTCTGTGTCTCCAGACGATGACGATGATGATGATGATGACGACGTGGACACATCGTCATCCACAGACTTGCCAACTGTTGGCTCCGGATCCTTCTTCGCTGTCGGTGCTTTGTGCTTCACCATCTCGCGCTGCAGAGGCTTCATCTTCACCGACAACAAAGATCTCTCCGGAGACTCATCAGCATACGGCAAATTGTCCCCAATACTGAGCGCTTGACTCCTCAGAGGAGCGTCAACTTCACTGCTATCCTGAGTGGACGAGTCCAATGAACACCGCAGAGATTTCAATTTGTTGTCCAGGGCAATTGTTACTGTATTTAAGGACATTGATCCTGCAAAAGACATAAAATCCATTACCATCTCCCTCTTCTCAACCATCACAAAATCGTTTAATGAGCTTCACACGATCTAATGTCTATAGAGAGTTTGACTTTTGACGCAAATGCTTGTCAGTAATGGGATTATTTTCAAAAGAAAGCACAATTAGAGTTCGCAGCATAAAAGCGAAAATGTATTGTTTTAATAGGAATTTTTTGTATTATAAACTGTGGTGATGAAGAATTGCTCATGGCTAAGTACTTGTTTTCATGTTTAATAGAGCCAAAAAAAGAAATAAAAATCAAAACTGTTATTAGACGCATTCATCACGTCTATTCACCTGCGTCCACTGAATACATTCTTGTGGCAAATTGGCTTTTTGTGATGATCTACTCAATCTCAGACGAAATACTTTATTCCGGCTACACTGAAGTCCTAATATAATAATTTTGATGTATTCTTTACACAACATCCAATCATATAATTCATCATCTATTCTACCTAATTTTCATCAAAAATATTACTTATTCTTCTTTTCTCTTCATTGATTTCATAAAAGATGAGAAGGCAACTTACCATTTTCAACAAATGTGGAATCATTTGAATCGTCTTCTGATAATCTGTGCTTCAAACTTTCCAATTCCTTCGTTGATTCTATATGTTGAAGTGCTGATGCGGTGTCTTTCGATTCGGTGGACTGAAAGATGTAAAGAAATTCAATTAATTCCCATAATTTTCCACTTGAAATGCTTCATTTAAATATATTTACAGTGTTGCTATCCAGAGATAGATTATCTGGCGTTCCCGTGGAAAGAACTGTTTTTCTCGTTGTAGATTTTCTTATTTTTCTATTCGCTGCTTGTACAATACTGGCCACAAATCTAGAGCTATACTCTTTCTCTTTAAATGCTGTAATGTACAAAAACAACACACATTTAAACCTCTATTCAGAATCATGCCATTCTCCAGTCACTCACGTTCAATTTTGGCAACATTATCGAGTAGTAAGTTGGTTGTCGGTGCGTCCAATTCCTTATGGGCCTCCGTGGGTGTGGGGAGTTCAGCTACATCGGGAATGGGATCCTTCTCAAAGAAGTATCCGTAGTGCGTCACAAGAGATTCGACAATTCGACACTGATGCTTCATGTCCTTTACTGCAGTTTCCAATGTTTCATTCGATGATCGCACAATCGATGGCCCGAATATGATTGCCAAATTCTTTGGCTCCATCAAATTCACCATACAATTCTGGCTCACACGATGAAGATGTCGAATGAGATGCTTCATTGTTTCATAACTATAAGGCGGCAAAGCCTCTAGAAGATTCTTCAATTCAGACATTCTGAAATACAATTCAATTCCAATTTTAGTGAGAAAATTTACTAGAGTCAAACATGTTTAGGAATCCACCTCAATCTTCCACTCTTCTTGTCAGCATTGATGAAACTCGGGTAAATTTCAGTGTGCAGCAGAGGTTCAGGCAAATTACGGATAAATGCCTTCAAGAGGCTGGAGACAACATTGACATCTTCCCATTTTGGATCCATCAGAGTCGCATCATCAAATCCTCTGTTCACTTGCTCAGTTAGTGCCGAAATTGCTGCTGTATTGCCAGGTATACGATAAATACCAACAATATCGAGGCCTTTTTGCTCAACAATTGACGTACATCGTGCAACGAGGAAAGGGACAAATTCATTCTCCTCAGACTGAAAGACAAAATGTCACAGTAAAGAGCCTGCAGTAGATTTTTCCATCACAATTTATAACTCACCGGAACACAATGAGAGAGAGGTACACCAATCGACGCTCCTTCTGGGAAGGTTGGATAACTGCCCTGACCTGCAGTGGGTTGTCCCTGAATTTTCCTCAATTGCCTCGCCACGAGACCCTTCCACGTCTTAGGTTTCGGTGATCCACCCTCCTTGTCGCTCAAGTCCTTCTGTCCTCCACTCCCGGACGCTGCACTGGGCACAGTTATGTTCAATTGCTGTGGCGTCTTCCGGCTCTTTGTCACTGGAGACTGTCCAGACGGTGATCTGGATCCCAAATAGTATTTCTTCGACGTTGTCGAGCCACTCTTTGCACCAGAACTCTCATCACTAGTCGCTGACGGTGTCTGAATGGTCTTAATAGCGGCCACACTCTGCGGTTCAGCAATCTGACTGCCCACATCGCCAAGAACACAATCCTGAAAGATGTTATGAAATATGATGTAAAATCACTGTGTTTGGAGATGCTTTGACACACGAGACGTACAATAACCTTTGAAATTTTCACATATTTCTTTACAATACTCTTCAATTTCCTACTAGTCAACACATAAAAGTCACTTGCTAGCATTTTATCTCTTTCAACTGAGAAATCCATCAAATTACAATTATTTTCCAAGAGTACAAAATTACGGAACAAAAATCACATGATGAAATGAAGTGTGTTTTCGGTTTGCTTGCTTTCAATTAACTCCCTCTTACGAAACACCACAAAAATATCCACCGATAACGTATCGCATTCTTATTTGCATTCACAAGTCACCGAATTAAGTGTCGCAGCGAATATGGGTGGAAATCATTAAAAATTTGTAATAAAATTCTAATGCATTGTTTAATTAAGAACCATTTTTTTCTCTTTCATCTCCTTATAAGAAGATGCTATGGAAAATCCATAACTAGAGTAGTGTCGAAGCAATTGTTGAAGAAAGTTTATCAATATGACTAAGCGAATCTTCCCGGTGGTACTAATTCTTATATCTTTCATTGCTCACCATTCATTTGCAATCGATGGTGTGGAGAGAGAAAGCAATACTTTAAGTTCAGGTAATTCACTGTTTATCAATCAAGAGATTCTATACGATACTAAAGTAACAATGCATGAGATATGAACACAAAATCCCACAAGGGCGCTTTATCAGGGAACTTGCAGAATCAGCTGTAGTGAGAATAGAAGCTGAACAAAATCAAATGGAGAATCAAGATAAAGACATCGATGAAAACTCATTAGCTCATATATCGGAAATTCTAAGTAAGGACTGAAGGTTTATCTTGACCAACTGTCGTGAGACGAACACATTTTCCCATTTCAGAAAAACTGTGCGAGTCCCTGGCACCCGCAGGCGTAGTACATCGTTGGATACAACAAATGACCCTTCTAATCGCAAGAATAGCAAATCTATTCGAACAAGAACTCTGGTAATTTACCTTCTTCAGAAGCATTTCCGGAACACAAACTGATTGCAACAAATCTCTCCAAAGATTCATCTCGTAATTATTTTCAGATTGAAGAAGCAATTCAGTGGGTCCAAGCGGAGAGAAGGTTGTGATTTGTGTTGATGGAACCGATATCAGCCTGAAGACGTGCTTCCTCTTCGCATAATTGGCATCGGTCACATTGAAATTTTTCAAATCCAATACACCAAGATTCTGTAAGCACAAGATCAATCAGTTAACATTAAATGAATCTTAAGAAATATCGATAATACATTTACCTGATTCGGTTTTCCCTCTCGTTGTATCATCATCTTGAGTTTGTTGCCTCTCAGCTCTGCCCAGATATTCTTCCACGACCGATCATGTGACTTCTTCCCATCAATTATTGTGATTTTTACTTGGAGGTTCCCTGCATGAGATTCACCACCAATGTCCAGTAAATTCGAGTCTCTCCTCTGAGCGGATGAATAGAGGAGTATTCCCAGATCTTCACTCACTCGCTGGCTGCTTCGACGGGTGGACGGCGATGACGGTGACTTATCGTCATCCAACACGTCCGACGGCATCGATGAGTAGCTCGTGGTGTCCGTCACCTGGTCACTGTGGAGTGATCCTTCATTGGCCGTGGCTCTCAAATACGATATTCGTCTCACGCGCCGCTCCTCGTCATCCAAACTAATTGCACACTTTGCCGGTCTCATGGTGACCACATCACCACCATCCGTCACCCTTTCTACACTCCTGTACGGCGATGACGCAGAGTCGCGATCACTTGGCAGCAGGCCATTTCGCGGGAGTCTGCGACTGAGATCTGAATGATCTAAGCTCACTGATCTGTCGCGTTCCTCAGACGAGCCAATCTGCTCGAACTCCTTCTTTCTGTGCGCCACATTGGGTATCGCCACTTTGTTGTTCAGGCGACTCAACTCACTTTTGTACAACTGCGTGCGGTCAAGAAAATTTCCATCTGGCGACAATGGTCGTCCTGATTCGAACATCTTCGTCCTCTCTGACACAATATGCAGTCCCGGATGGGACACTAGGCTGTACTCTTCCTTTGGGCGAGCACCATTGTCACTGGCAAAGAATTGCTCACGTGTCAACTTCTTGAGATCCTGCACATGGCTCACTTCATTCTCCTTATTGTTCTGTATTGGAATGAAATGATTCAATTGACCACTTGATGGGCGTCTATCACATTTTGCCAGAACAGGGCCCACTCCAGCCAACGCTACATGGTCATCCTGTGCAACCACCGACGCCGCGAGGCCTCCTTCGAAGTGTCCCGACGCATTCGGTGAATTTGTAGTCGAATGTGGAGGCCATATTTGCTTCTGCATCTTCTTAGGCCTTGCATAGAACTCCCTCTGCTTCACACTCATCTCAGACGCCTTGGGAACACTGACCTCCAGTGAAGGTGGTGGAGAGACCCAGGGAAACAGGGGTTGCTGGTTGGGACGCCTGAGGAACTCCTCTTTCTGCTCAAAAGTCTTCTTCAGGCGCATCATTATGGCATTATCTGTGAGCTCTTTAATCGTTGACGTAGTGGAGTTGGACAATTGAGAATCATATGATGAGACAGTTGTTGAGGATACGGTTGACAATTGAGATTCACGACGATTTGCTGTTTTGCCACCATCGCCACTGTACAGTGGATTGTACACCACTTCCGATGGTTCATGAGATCGATACACACTTGTTAATTGTCCAGGTGGTTGATATGTCTGAAAATACATCTGCGATTCGTAGCTTCCGACTGGATATGGTTGTCTGGGATAAAATGACGACACTTCGGTCTGATGACTGTGTGCATTTGTTGCTCGAGGACGCTGATTTGTTTCCGGATTATGAGCTGTTTCACTGAAAAACTACACACATGGCCATTAGAAGTGTATAGAAATTTGGAGGTTGTGTCATTTTCTTACCGTCTGCAAGACGTCACATTCCTTCGGGACGACTTTGAGCGTGAGTGTTGACGGGATTTGTTGGATTATCGAGACAACATGTGGATAAGACATTCCGCCAACTGCAATTCCATTCACAGTCAACAGGCGATCACCCGTTTGCAGACCAGCCACATGGGCAGGCCCATTCGCGCGAACCTCCTTCACGAAGACTGTATCCATGGGCTCCGTCACTTGGAACGTTGACTGGTCATTTCTCACTGGGTCCTAAACACATATATATATTGTTTTACTGGCAAATCTTATCAGTTATTTAACAAAGAATTCATTCTCAAGTCTTCCCAAGGCTAACAATTGCGCTATTAGTCACACTATTGTAGGTACTTAGACAAAAAAATTAAATAATAATGACACTATTTAGGAAAGATTCTCTTCAAATTTCTTAATTCCAAACTTGCAAATCACTTCTTTCAGTGTCTGTCAGTAACCACAAACACCAAATTAGAGACCTTTTTTGCCACAGCAATTTTCTCAGGCTAATATCTCAAAAACAGGAAATGAATGTGTATTCCACACTAGAGAGCGCAATGAAATTATTCATGTACACAACAATGCCAAATAACTTCCTTAGAGACTTTTCTTCTTACATTTGCATCTGGTGGATAAACAATAAAGTGTCTCAGAGTGAAGCCAAACCCGTGATTTTCCTGCCGTCGAATCACCACTGTTTTGGGTATTATTATCTGAAAAAGCAACAGAGAAGAAAGAAAAGAGACAATGAGGGGAAATAACACTCTTTTCTCCTATTAACCAGTTAGACATTAGCACAGTACACATTTTGTGGTATTACTCATGCCCTCTTTCCTCAAATTACGCATACCTGATTAGGTTTTGGTGGCATATTCATCAATGGTCGCTGCTTATCACTCCCCGGGCAATTCTGATGTGACTGCTTGAGGGCCGCTCCACCACTCGATCGTGATGCAACAACACCAACTCGATCGGCCATTGGCGAAACCGGAGGATTTCCACTATGTGATCACGCGAAAAGAGAGAAAAGAGAAGAATTTTTTTTCTCTTCATACACTTCTTCTTGCCTCCTTCCTTCACTCATGCTCATCTCGAAATGTTTAATTTCCAAAGTCCATAATAAAAATGGCAAAAGGCCAAATTTCGGCCACTTTAGCCCGTGTTACGCCGGTGTGTTTCGCTTAATATTTTAATTTTATACTTTTCTCTCCCCATCTCAGCTTGCGCTCTCCTTCACACATGCCTTCTTGCGCCCCACACGATCACGTGAATCTATTGGAAAGATCGCGATCTCCCAGTCAATCGAGTTCGACTTTTTTCCCCTTCATCATTCCCCAAATCAGAGCAATTGAGATCTTATCTTGCCCATATCGGCATCATCTTCGTGTCTTCCACCATTTCGTCACGCCTCCCAAACGAGATTTTGCATTTTTTGCCATAAAGATTTTCTCAGCAATATTTAGCGAGAATTGACGGAATCCTCAACAATGAAGTGTTAATTCTTTTTATTACCTATACTGTTTGATCATCAGAAAAGAAGAAAAACACACAAGGTCTCCGAATTTCACCAAAACATCTCCATCATATGGAAAGTTTATTATGAAAGGTGTAAATTGCTGAGAGATATTGCTTGTTCCGCCAACACAGACATCTCTCACACCAAATCAAACCAGATAAGAAGAATGTACTTGATGATATCAGTAATGCAGACACTAAAAATCACCGATTTGCGATTACGGCGGCAATTTGCGATAGTAGATAATAGATTTTGGCCCAAAAATATTCTTCAAAATAGATGTGCATAAGTGCAAAACCTTGACGATTCTCTTGACAATTTTGTAATATTTTCTCGACACTGCGGTTTGGCGGGCGCACCACAGAAATTGGAAATACAACACCCTCCGTGTTTGGCACTCGCTCGAACATTCCTCATGGATTATCAAATTGAATTAGCAATGAGATGTTTTCACACTATTTCTCCTCTCTCTCTCTCTCTAAACTCATATTCTACTTCCAAATCTCATTAATTTCTCCTCACTTTTCCTCCTCGCGGGAAAAACTGATTGACGCCCGCGTTCGTGGAGTTATTTCACGCCGCAATCAACTGAAAAGGCATTCCCTTATTCACTTGCAACTCACACACTGCGCGGCAAATTAATTTATATTCAATTTTTAACCCATCTTACACGCACTTGGCGATGTGTCAATGCTTCAATCGATATTTTTGCCCGCTGAAATTAAATTTAATTTAATTTCATCCAAGGACAAAACACTTATTAACAGACACTTTACAAATTTGTATTGAAAACATCAACTCGCTGTGCGATTGTACCTTCGCTGGCGAATATCAATGGAGACGTTTTCACTCAATTAATCGCACATTTGGATTGCTCGGAGGATTTATTGAGCAATTTCGCTTAATTTTTCTCCTCCTCTCACTCTTTTTCTGTGAATGGACACACGGACGCTTCTTGCCTGAGAGAATCACTCAATTGTCGCGCTGATTGTGGCTTCGCGGACAGCAATGACGAGAAACTTTGCAATGTGCTTAGGCATTTATTCGAGGCGCGAATCACTGTACAGTAATTCTCTATACACGTCTGTAGTGCACTCAAGCGAGTTTGAAGCACAAAAGAAGTCCAATTCTGACTGATTACCCGCGGTCATTACACAAAGAGAGGTGCTCAATTGAATTGTGCAAGAGTTTCCCGTGAAGATTGTGTGGATTTTGCTCAATTAATCCCGATCTTTCGAGCCACATTCTCAAATATCATCCACTTCCAGTGTAATTTATAAATAGGAAAACAAGAGAAATCCGCCAGAAATATCATAAAAATTCCAATTAACATTCAAATTACACCTCATTGAACACGTGTTTAATTGTATTTGCTCCCCAAAATGCGGCTGTATTGGATAAACTGAGAGGCGAAAGTCTTGGTCGTTTTCATTACACAAACTCGCACCGTGTCTTCAAGCTGAGCAGTATTGCAATTATGCCAGACTATCTGTGGAATAAATTGCAAACCTTTCTTCCCTTCTATTTGCACAAGATCTTCGGATACACATTAAACTATAGCCACGATTTCGAAGCGCCGAGTAGGCTCGATTGTAGTGCAGAATCTTGCACACACGAGTCCTCTTTTTGAGCATTATGCAAACTTCCCAGCCTCTGTCTTTCCTTTTCTCTTCTCTCACTCGTGCTCTCATCTTTCTCCCCAGAGAGACGTGCTCGAGAGCACGACGGACAGAAGAGGAGCCTCAAGAATAAATAAAAATCGTGAAAATCTAAAATTAGAAATTTTTTAAGTATTTCGAGCAAATAGCGCCGATTACACGAAAAATCCTCAGAGCACCATTACTGCCCGCGGGCGTAAATATTCAAAGAGTAAATGATTTTGATTGCAATGAAGAGAGGAAAATACCGTGATGGGGCTCCCGGAGGGGGCACAGGAGGTGCTCTCTGCTCGCCCGACGAGGCAATCGTTGTCGGTGGTGTCCTCGGCGGAGGTCCGTGGACAGACAGAAGTGAATATCGCGATTTTCACTTCTCAAAATTCACTTTTTCAGAGGTGAAAATCGGGAAAATTCACTTCTGAACCCCGTCACTGAGTGAAACCCATCAATTGTCGACATACGCAGAGGGATACCGAAAAACCACACTTTCCACACAATTATCACCCAGATAACATTGTTTTTCGACGCTAGCGCAAAGCCTCAACTGATTTTACTGCACACACACGCTTAATTCATTATTATTTGGAGGAAATTTCACAAATTTATGCCAACCGAGGCGACCATATTAAAAACCCGAAAATGTCACACGAAACAATGTGAAGTTGGCTCCGAACGTCGCGAGTTGTGCACAAAATAGGCCTTTTTCGAATTTCAACTACCTGAAGAATTCAAGGAAATCGTTTGATTAGGAATTCACAGTAAGGAAAATTTAATTTGCGCCGCACTCCTTTCAGTTGGAATGCCACCTTTGTACTGAAGAAAGGTGATTTAATAAATTTCTACCTCTAATTCTATATGTTATGCATTTTTTAGTCGTGATGTGCGCTTGCGAGCGCCTTTCATACGGTGATCTTAAAAGGCCTTTCGGCATGACACTCCAGTTGGCGCGGCGCCGCTCGCATAACCACACATTGAATGGAGATAACAAATGATATTATTGTTTTTTTACGTGATTTTGTGCAATTGATTATGGATTTTCGGTTTAAGACACCAAATGCAAGCTCAGGGTCTTCAAAATTAAGTAAATATCAAAAGATTCGTCTGAAGAAACTGTCTAAAACAATTCTCCCAATTTTCCTAGATGCTCAGATTATTGGACAGGAAATTGACGAGTCCTCGGCAAAGAAATTGAAGATCCACGATGAAAGTCTACTTGAAGATATTCGATTGCTCGAAGAATTAGAGTTTAGCTTCCTCAATGACGATGACAAGTTGATACCGAGTGATGCGAAGAAGAACCACCACGAAGAGACGAATTTAAATCAGCTCTTTGATGACACGTTCCCCTTCCCAGCGCTGGAACCCAACAAGGAAGTGTTTTTCGGGCTGCCCATGAAGGTGAAGGATTTGTTTCAAGAGATTAAAGGCATCAACGAGCTTTACGATTGGCAGATCGATTGCCTGAATCTACCAGCCATTCAAATGCGAGAGAACCTCATTTACACATTGCCCACGAGCAGTGGTAAGACTCTCGTGGCCGAAATCCTGATCCTGAAGGAGTTACTGTGTCACAAGCGGAACGTGCTTTTCATCTTGCCATATGTCGCGGTGGTGAAGGAAAAGATATCTTCTCTAGCGCCCTTCGCGATCGAGTTGGATTTCCTGGTTGAGGAATATGCCGGCCGGAATGGTGAGTGTCCGCCAAGGCAGAGACGCAAGAAGAAATCCATTTATATTGCTACGATCGAGAAGAGCCTCTGCGTGATTAACAGTCTCATCGAGGCTGGGCGCCTTGGGGAAATTGGGCTGGTGGTTATTGACGAATTGCACTTGATTGGCGAGAAAGATCGCGGGACGAGGCTGGAAACAGCCATCACAAAGATTAAATACATGAATTTGGGAATTCAGATTGTGGGCATGAGCGCGACAATCGGAAATATCACGGAGATCGAGAAGTTCATGGAGGCGAGCACCTTCGCCGGAAACTTCCGTCCTGTGAAACTCACGGAATACATGAAGTGCGACAAAGATATTTACAAGGTGGATCCCAGCGATCCGGAGATGTTTGTGCCATTCAGAGTGATTGATTCCGACTACGATGAGCAGAAGTTGAAGATTGATCCTGATCACCTGGGAAAATTGGTGATGGAAGTCTCTCCGCAGGTAATATTGATTATTTCTCTACGATCTTAGACTAATTCTGTTCCTATTCCCAGGATGGAGTGCTAATTTTCTGTCCCACTCGCCAGAATTGTGAAAATGTGGCACGTCTTCTTACAAACGTGATATCAAAGGACTTTCTTGAGGATCACAAGCAAGAGAAAAAGAAGCTGCTTGATAACATGAAGACATACTTTGAGTATATATGTCCCATTCTACAGCGAACCATTCCTTATGGCATAGCTTATCATCATTCAGGACTCGTGGCAGAAGAAAGGCGTTTTCTGGAGGAAGCCTTCCTCGCAGGCACGCTTTGTGTGATTTGTTGCACGTCCACCTTGGCAGTGGGTGTGAATTTACCGGCAAGAAGAGTTATTCTGCGATCTCCATACATTGGACGGGACTTTCTCACGAAGAGTCGATACAAGCAAATGGTTGGAAGGGCAGGACGCGTCGGAATGAGTTCCGGCGAGGGTGACAGTATTATCATTCTCAAGGCTCGTGACAAATCTCTTGCGCACGATCTTTTCCATGCTCCCATGGACAATGCAAAATCTTCGATGCATCTGTGTGAGTTTCGCGGTCTCAGCAATCTCATCCTGAGTGCGATCAGCCTCGGCATGGCCACGACATGCCGTGAACTAAAAGCATTAGCCTCGATGACTCTCCTGAACGTTCAGGCCAATGAATTTAATGTGATGATGTCTACTGAAGTGGAGAAGATCGTCAAGAAATTCTACAAGCTTAAGGCACTCTGGATCAAACAAGAAACCGTTCCTCTTGATTGCACCATCAAGATAGTTACCACACAGCAGGTTCAAATTGGCAATTCTCCGGTGCAGAGGAGACAAATTGTGATAAAAAATTCCTCTCAGTTGGAGATCAGCAACGTGGGTAAAGCCGCTGTGGCTGCTTGTATCGATCTTCACGAAGCTGAGAAGCTGTACGCAGAACTGAAGAAAGTTCAAATGGGTCTTGTCTTGGTAGACTATTTGCACCTTCTCTACATTGTCACGCCATCCGACTTGGACATTCAAATGGATCCAATGATTTTCTGTGATGAGGTGAAGAGCTTTCTTTACATAATTTTAGAACAAGATGGCTTATTTCTTGCATATTTCTAATTGTAGTATCTGAAATTGAGCCCTGATCAAGTCCATACCGCCCACACTATTGGAATCACTGAGGGTATGGTGATGGGTATAAGATGTGGCAAGAAGTATAATGTAAGTTTTCTCCTTTCATCCTGTCAAATTCTTTATTATGATTGTACTACACTTCACGTATAATCGCAGGAGGATAAAATGAGAACGGTTCAACGATTCTACGTGACGCTTATCATTCAGGCCTTATGGAATTTGGAGGAAATCTACAGAGTGGCTCTCAGATTCAAGGTTACTAGAGGCATAGTGCAATCTCTAATGGGTCAAACAGCTTCCAATGCGGGTTGCATTACGCGCTTCTGTGAGCAAATGAGTGAATTCTGGGCTCTGGCATCGATTCTCTCTGTGATGGTTGAGAAATTGAGATACTGTTGCTCACCAGAACTGATTCCTCTCATGGAACTTCCTTCGGTGCAACTTGTAAGATTGTTTAATAATTTTTCCTTGTGGCAATGATTCTAATTGTTATAACATCACATTTAGATGAGAGCAAAACAACTATATGCTGCAGGATATAAAACTCTTGAACTGATTGCTCAGGCCAAACCTCAGGATTTAGTGCAAAATATTTACCATATGAGTTACAAGGCGGCAAGAGAAATCGTCTCAGCGGCGACGGTAAGTGTGATGTCTTGGTTCTACACTCATTTGGTGGATAAAATCTAATGAGAATTCCAAAAAATATTGTAGCTGTCACTAAATTTTGACGAAGACACACTGGAAGAGAAACAAGATCAGTAATTTTTTTAAGGTTCATTTCCTTTTTTTCAAGGTAATGCTGTTGGAGAAGAAGGATAACTTGCTACACGAGTTGGATGATTTGAAAATTGTTTTAAATGGCAAATGAATTACGGGAAAAACATATGAATAATTGTATATCTAATAATTTAAAAACCAATTGAATTGAAACTGTTTATACATATATAGATCTCTAAATTTTAAATTCGATAATTGTTTTATAATTATATATTTTTCAGCAGATACAATTAGGCAACATAAATTGGATTCAATATTTATATTCAGTGTGCCTTATTATACTTCCTCCCTATATGACATATACATGTTGCATGCGCATTTATATTGCATTCTCCATATAGCAATGCCTTGCAGGATAACGAGCGTGACTCTGGATAAAGGGTAGGGATATTCCTAGGATAATAGGTATGGAAGGGATGGATAATATGATTGTGGTAGGGATTCTTTGGATAAGTGAGAGAATTTCAATTGCGCGTGCGTGAGAATTCGCAGTGAGTGCAAGTGTGACTACTCTTACTGTGTGAACACTCCGGCTTCACAGTCAATCAGTTTCTTTAGGACTCTGTTCCAGGAATTTTTTATCTAATCCCTTTCCACCTCAATCACACTCAATTTTCCCTCACACATCTGTATTTCTTCACAGAGGCACTTCTCATGGGATTTTAGCGCTCAATGGAATTCAGATGTGAATGATCAGAATCATCGCTTTTAGCAGTAGCGCATAAAACGACTTAAATCAGAGAATATTTCAGTTAGAATTATATAAAAATTAGTATCCAAATTTGGGGTAAAACAAACCTTTTGAGTTAATGCAATTATTAATCAGCAGGTTTGCTGAAACCGTGTAGAGTTTTTTAGCGTGGGTCAAAAATTGCACCTCTGCTCATGGTTGGGAGCAGAATATGTCTTTTGCGACTTTATCGCGGGAAAACATAAATCCCTCTTCCTTTTTGCGGGCCGGATGTATGTTACGGGCGGAGGACGCGGTGTGGGAGTCATATCGTTTGCATGGGAATGTGGAGCTGAATCTTCACAGCTTCTGGTACCAGTATCTGTGCACCATGCTGAAATGGGTGGCGCGATAAATATTGGAATGACACCGAAAAAGTGCCGTGAAAGAGAGAATTCAACAATCTCTGTTGACTTACTATCTCCTTCCTTGGGTTTCACTTTATGTGAAGGAAAGAAATTTTTTCTGAAGAATATTTTTTCTGTCCCCCAGAGATGATAGCATCCCATAAATTGCCCTCTCTGTACCTCATCGCAATCCCTCGTCCTTGGGCGCTGTTATTGTCATTTTGATTCACGAAGAGCCCCACAATACGGAAAGTAGCATTTCTCCAACTTTTCCCCATTCGCCAGATTACAAGTTTTTCCCTTTTGGGGCGCCGCACTTGGTGTGAGTGCATGAAGGGAAAATATGAATATCAGCATAATCTTATGGGCATATCATGTACTTTACGACAATATTCGTTTGAATAAATCGTTCTACATGTTTTTCACTCGCTGTGCCAAATCCTTCCTCACTCCTCTGCCTTTGCGCCATAATTTGCATAATCACAAAATGTGAATCAATTTCCATGTACACGACCGAACAAGGGGGAGAATTACAAGAAAAGTGACAATTTCATCCAAACAAATTGCTATTTATAGCCTCAATTAAGCTATTAGTTAACTATGCTTGGGGAGGAGACTTGCTACACCGCACTTACATTTTGTGATTTCTCATCGTGCATCAATTTGCATGATCCGCTGGCAGAGTTGAGCGATTCTACTTGCAAGGAGAATCATTTTCCGGAAGCAAAGTAAAACATATTCTCTTTCATACTTAGATGAACTTTTCAAATTCAACACAATATAGTTTGGCGGTTATTGATATTTGAGGAATTTCTTTTCCTCTCGGGATTTACTTTAATCTTGAAGTCTTAGCGTAGCTGGCGAAAGTTTTAGCACTTTCCTGCCGTTGAAAAGTTATTTGATGTGAAGTGGATCTATTCACAGTGGGGAAATTTCATCTTTTGCCGTACACTTTAGAGTTAGAATGGAGTGTGAGGATAAAGTTAAATAAGTTAAACTGTTGAGTTTTTTTTTCATTCAACTATTCTCTACTTTATCCGTAAGATTGAGTTAATTTGGAGTTGTTGTATTTTTTTTCTTCTTCTATAGCACCACCGCGAACAGTGAAGGGTGAACAGAGTGCATGGGAGGTGTAAGAAAGTTTTTCAATTTATTTAACGACTTCCCAACTAACAATAGGTGATATATTATTGTAATTGCTGTTTTAAGAATCGGCACGTGACGAAATGAAAGCATTTTCTTTGCAACTCCCTTTCAATTGTAAGTTTGTCGGAAAGTCGGGAGAAATTTCAAAAGCGATCCCCAAATTGATTTCAGAGCAATGGAGTCAGCAGAGTCTCTGCCAAATTGTTGGTGGCAGTAAAAATATATTTTATTTTATTATATCACAATCAAAATGCTGCTATTTTACTTGCTATTTCCATAGCAAATTGCAAAGACAAGAGTATTCTCTGGAAAACGTATTTCAATATTTTTACAACATCCCGAGTATTTTTCTCGGGAATACTCATAGATTTTCTTTTGCTCGCTGGATACACGTTCATTTCTCCAAGGAGTGTAATTTCAATTTAACTTTCATTTAAGAATAAATTTCTGTGGATTTGTTTTGCAAATATTTGAAGAATTTTCTCACACCCAACACGAAAACGCCACGAAATTGCCTTCTGCCCCAAAATTGTGCTCCGGCGTGTGAATATAAATTTTGTGCTGAGTATTTTTTTCACCCACTTTCTGTGGGTGAATTCTTGTGAGGGCCAAATTGTTGCTATGAAATCTGCTGAAGAGAGATGCGAAATGGTGCGAAATTGGCTAAAAATGAGTAGTTTATTGGATGGCTTTTCTGCTACAATACCACAAATTCATTAGCACGTTCCACAAAAGGTTTAATTAAACCAATTCTGGCGAATTAGACGTAATCTTGAGACAATTCCGTCGAAGACATTTCAAGTTTCTTCACAGACATTCACATGTAAGACAAAACATTAAATGTTATGCTTGAATACTGAGCAAGTTCCTCCTTCTGCATTCCTCTTCCGACCTCCCCTTTCGTCATCTTGCGCTCTTCCCAAGATGTATGATTAATTATTCTGTTAGTGTGTGCCAGTGCGGCGTGAGCTGGGGGTGGAATTGGATGGGGATTCTGTGTGAATTCCGACGCGATGGTGAACTTTTCAAGGGGGTGTGGGTGGATATTCCTGAATTGCAGATTTAATTTGAATGAATCAGTCTCTCCAGCCACCTCTTGCTTATTCCATTTGCGCCACTGCTACAATCAAATTTCATGAGACTGAGGATGAGGAATCTTCAGCGCGAACTTTCCATCTCCCAGGCAATTCGATGAAGCATGAAATGCTTCATTATCCCTCCACATTTATACAGCTTGACATAGATGCTTCAGCAGTTTTCATTATTCGCATCTCATTTAGTGTCTGACTTTCTATAAGATATTTTTCCAAAGTGCGAAGATAGACAAAAATATGGTGCGTTGCCGAAGAGATAATATTCCGAGAGAAATTTCTTGCGCGATCGCAAGACAGAACATATGAAGCGATGATTGGCATCTCAATAGGGGTGGGTTAACGGAGAGATAACTCAATGGTGGGTTACAGAATAGTCTGGAAACTTGACACCATTTCATTTCATCTGCAGACGCCTTTCATTTATTATTTGATGGATGGAGAATTCAGAATTCCAACATCTCCTCGTATTTTGCCTTGGCAATTAAAATGGAGTTTTTGGGGAAATTTCTGTGTGCCTCAAGATATCCGAGGAATTCTCCAAGTCACTTTCTGAAATTCGTTTTTAATTAATGATCTTCATTCAAATACTCTCCACTGAAATGTGTGCGCAATTGTACTGCTACAGTTGAAGATGCAAAAATTGTTTTATTGCAAAAGTCCTTTTCACTTTATTTTTAAATCAATAAATTACACAATGAGGAAATATTTTATTTCACAAGGCTTTTCGTTCCTTCTGTTTGTCTCTATTCATGTGTTATCTTTTCTCTCAGCAAATTCTATACGCCTCCGTTTATTCATTTTCTCTTTGTCCAATCGTGCTGAAATATTTTTCCTTCTCGAATTTTGTACACACAAAGAAGGGGCGAATAAGCGGAAGTTTTTCGTGGGAGACAAAAAAATATGGAGAAAAATCACGTTCATCGTATCGATGAATAGATATTCTTATCAGGGGAAATTCGATAAGGATATGATGGTTTAGATGGGAATGTAAATATTTTGACAAGAATACAAATTTTCCCTTCATAGTGCTCTCATCCCTCGAGGACGAAGCATTCCATCCAATATTTGGGACATGGGGAGTTTATTAAATTTGGGATACACCCCGAGCATGAGTGTGGTTTGTTTAATCTAATGTTTGAATATATTTTCCAGCTATTGTGGAGGAGTATAACGTTGAAAATTATTCATTTAGCAATGAAGTTTTCCATGCCACAAAAAGCATCCACACAATGACACGGAGTCAGACAGATTTCTGAAAAAGGTCAACCCCATCCCTTGAGCGTCTCGTGTGGATTTTCCACGATTCACTCTTGAGGACGCATAGAAATAAAACATTTAAACTAGTTATGTGAATTTGACTTTGTATCATCCATTCCATGTGCTTCGTGTAAAGTGTTGTTTTCTTCAAATAAACGCCACAAACATATAACAAATACACATAGTATCCATGGTATATATGTATTTCAGCGTATGAAATAAATCCTCTCAATGGGAATCATCTCTCTGAAACATATTTTCCCATAGAGTACATGTTGTATATTTTATATAAATCAGAAGAGAGAATTTTGCCTAAAAATGGGTGGAAATGATTCCGTGAAAAGAGGTTTTCAGCTCAACATAAACTACATAAAATTCCATGTCCTTCCGTTTATTCCACAATTTTCCAGCATGACTGCTCGCGCTACTATCCCATTTAAACTTTTGCGCCGATTGTCCGTTCATACATATGTATGTGGGTGAACAGAAAATGCAAAATGTAGAAAAAAAATGCAGTGTTTAGATTAATCTGTGCCAACGTAGAATGAAACGATTGACTGCAACTCTTCAGGCACCAAAATCTAGTTTAAATTGGCAAAGTACATTGAAATGCGGGCGAGAAGTGAAAATTTATCCATACCAACGGAAAATCATCCTTTCTCTGTTACCCTGCTTTTTTTCCGCTCGCATTGATTTAATGAAGGCTCTCATGTTTATTGATAAATGTGTATATGACCGAAACGAACAGAATAATTTTCCATGTGGAAAATGAAATGTTTATTTCATTATTTCCTGGCAAGTATATTTCAGCCTGATGTTGTACTGTGCATGGCCTTTAATTTGAGTACTCTGCTTAATTGATGGATTCCATGAATTTCATTTTATTGTTTATCAAATATTACTCTTTTGTTGAATAAATAGAGAAACAGACATGTAGAATGGAAAGAATAGATCAAACAAATTGTAACTGTGAGTTCTTTAAAAATTATTGCACCCAAATTTGCATAAGAACATCTGCGGGACAGTAAATTGTAAGACATTATGCTATATACTTAGGAAGTTCACCTTGTTGTTTATGAAAGTTTCTCAAACAATGTGTGTCTCTTAAGATTAATCATATTTTCTATTTAACTTTCATTTAAAAGGTGAACTTAACTTATACTATAACAATATTTTCCTGAAACAAGCTTTATTATTAGTGCCAATTTTTTGTAGGAAATGGCCTTAATCATTAATTATACATTATCTATCTTTTACTGCTTCAAGCATCATTAAATATTCAATTGTCAATTACATTTTACAAGACATTATTCAATTTAATTGACCATGCTGTTTGTTTTCTGTTAATCATGCATATAAATAAAACAAAACACAAACTATTGCAATGTTCCTCTCTAAAGAATATTGAATTAGTTTGTCTTGTATAAATTACAATGTGTTGACTATAGACGTTAATAATTGCTTTAGAATATTGCCTTGAATATTTTCCCTCCTGAATCAATAAATATGACCTTTCTGTAATGAAACGCAAGGAGAAAAGGGAAGTCGTAATTTGTGGCTTCTGCTCTCACTGCAAATATGTATTTCTCTACATGATCAGAAAGATTTCATCAGAATTTCATTTGAAATTTGGAAATAGCAACATTTAATGTTTTATTTTACTTTCCTTTCCTCTGTTTAACAAATCAATGAATTTCAATGAATTTGCTCAAAAAATTTAGACAAACTCACATACTAATTTAGATAGCAAAAAAAAACATTTTCCAATGGCAATATCTGTGATTTCTCAATTGCATGTCTTTTCGATAAAAGTGCGGCAATTTTTGCCCATTGATTTGTCATTTCCAGTGTTATTTCCATGCATACAATTTCATGCAGGATAACATCTGCTGCATCATCGCTATGCTCAATTCTCCTCCCTGGCCATGTAACCTTTTTTTATTCAATTTCTTGTTGCTGATTGGAAAAGTAGTGCTGCAGTCTGGCTAGATACTGTGAAATCACAGTGGGAGGTTGACATGAATTTTCGCCCATACCTCCAATTCTTATTCTATATCTGGCAACTTCAATGAAATGAACATTGAAAGGACGGCAAATGTATAGAGAAACCATCGCAAGAAGAGAGAAAAGTTTGAAATGTATGAATTATCTGTTCCACCCAAAAGACCATTGAACCGCCCTCTAGTGTGTTTAAATGACATCTAAAGGGCTTCTTGAATTCACGGCCCAATTTCTTCTTTTTATGCTTCAACCACTGAAATTTATTGTTCTTTTCCTGGTCACTTGCCACTCTTCTTATTGCTCGTCAACAAATCTCATCATTTGATTTTTTTCTCCAAGTCACAAAATTGAGTAAGATGTCGTGAGGATTAAACTGTTCTAAGAATGAGATTTTATTTCAATGCTAATATTTTTCAAAAATTTATATCAGTTTGCACATTTCACGCTTGTCATCGAATTAAATCCGTAAGGTGATTCGGCATTTGTTTCCAAGTAGTAATTTCCTGTGGCATTAGTAGGTGTGGCATAGCCCATAGGTATTATATCTTCACCGGAGCACAATTCCTGTTTGTAAGCCAAAAACAAATTACACCTTTTGGCAAGAAATCCATTTTCATTTCCGGGATAAACGCTTTCAGCATAATATCGCCAAGATCTCGAGTGAGAGCACGAGAGAGAGGAGCAACCAGGCATATTCACCACTGCACCATTTGGAAAGAAGTCTACATCGCCTATTGAGTCCTTGGCGCCCAAGCCTCCGGAATTGGAGTGAATGACATCGACTAGATCAGCAACTCCGCGCTCCAGACCCCTAAGACCCCCTCCAGTATTGAAGCATACTCGAGCCGGATCAAGTCCTGTGATTCTCGGTAAGGTTTTGCCAGTTTCCTCCTTGTATATTCGCCCTATGTTACCGGCAATGTGAGCTCCTAGACTGTGACCAATCAAGTGGAGCTGCTTAATGTCAACGTTCTTGGTGAGCTCAATGATTGCTGGTGTAATGTATTCAGCAAGATCATGAGTATTCAGAGCTGACCATGAATACAAAGTTTCGATGGCGACGTGGGGATCAAATAACTACAAATTGAGTAAAACAATTAAAGATTTAAATGACCCTTGCAGCACTTGACTTACGAGAAAATTGTTATATCCCCGACATTTGTACGCTGTGTAAATGACTTCTGCCGCCTTCTGCTTCTCTTCCTGCAAGTTTGTCAGCCATCCGGTCATTAAAATAATAACTGGAGCAGTTTTGTCAAAAGCATAATGTGTCACTACATTCTTGAGTTCTGACAAATGATATGTAGTCTCTTCGATATCGTTGTAGAAAGTTATCCTAAGCTCATTGTAATCCGGCTTATGGTATTCTTTGCGGTTTAAATTACTATCTGTGTCGATAGCTAATATACAAAATATGCTGAGGGCACTTATGCCAAACCTCGTCGGTAATTCGTACAAGAATGTTACTGACATACTCAGCAATTGCTCATATGTTAATGGAAGATTTGACAATTTATCTATAACATCCCTTATTTTCTGAACACCTAACGCAGTGCTTTGCACAATGCGATCCGCAACACTTATTGCTGAACATTCAGCGTTAAAGAGTGCACAACACATTACAAATATGAGAAGAAATTTCTGTAACATTATGAATATGCTTCTTCTATTCTTCAATTAAACCACTTTGAGATAGCACTTGAATTTTTACACATTTTGAACTAAATGCCTTTGCTTCATCGGCTCTTATATATATATGAAATACGAAATCTCCCAACTTACCTTAATTTACAAGTCTATTTTCAACACCTAATTGAAAGTGATAAGAAATATTGAAAACACATAAAAGTGTTTTTCTGTGTGACGAGAAATAGAGTAATTAAAATGTAGTGAAATTCTACAGAGTACGAAACGATAGTTATAACAATATTTCAGGGATCACGTAAAAAATACCATGATGATGCAGAATAAATGGAATTTTGTGGTTCTTGCATTTAAAATTGTGTATAGTCTGCGAAAAGCATCACAAGATTACGTATGGTTAGTACAAAGTGTATTCTGAGGTACGTAAAATTCCGATTAAAGTGCATTTCCTGAGAGATACAAATTCACACAACACAACACAGAATTTCGCCATGAGAAAACACGAGAAAGCTTTCAAGTATTGTGAATGTGATGAGTACAGGCTTTCCTCGGCATTGTGTATAGCTAACAGCTGTGCAGAAATTCAACGTGACACAGAATAGCATTAGTGTGCTTATTATATCATCGTAGCATAAAAATGTGCTACTAAATTCATCATATGTAAACATTTATATAAACCTCCAACAGTATGTACTGTACGTATATATAAAAATTAAATTCGGGGTTTTCCTGTTAATGAGCATTTTTCTATATCCACTCTTCTCAACTTACTTAAGAACCAATCCTACACTAAATCACAGGAACTCTGGAGAAGTTCCACGAACGTAGTTTGGTAACTTTCTGTGTCACCTAAAGCTCTACAAAGCAGGTGAAAACTAAGAAACAATTCTATTCACCAAAGTGTATTAAATCCATGCAGAATACTGTGCAGAAAATGCGCACCGTATTATGAATCAGTGGTGGCTTTGTGCCAGTGGAGAATTGTATGTAGAATTGTCTATACACATATTTTTACTGTTAATTTTTGTATATGCAAAATATCACAAATGTTGATTTAAGTGGTACAAATGAGAAAATTCTTGCTGAAAGATGTGTACATATAAGAGAAGCTTTCTTTGTCCAAAAACAGAATTATAGTGTTAATTGGAAATTTAAATTGTCGTTCCGTTTTAATCAAGAGTACTTGTGATATTCCTAGATGGCCTTCGTTGACGAAAAATGCATGAATATGGTTGGAAAAGTGTGACAGAGGAGCTCAAACGAAAAGGGATTTCCTTCTGGAAAGTTTCACTGTGCTATTGGATTAATTCCTTTCTGCATTGTAAGGCGAAAGAGCGCACGAGAAAAGCCCCTGTGAGTTACGATTATGAGTGCTTAAGGCGTGAGACGTGCATGGGTGGGAAACTGGGGTTGTATATTAAAATGAGCTTTTGCAGAAATGCTGAGAAACGCCAAAAAGCATTTCTGCAAGAACCACCGGTGAGGTTGGACGCCAAACACGTTCCACATCACATTCCCACCTCCGCACCTTTTATTGTTTAGTGACTCGCATCTCAGCTGTGGGCAACAACTCCAGCGACTGGGGAGACACAAATTATTCCATTTGCATAGCAATTTACGAAACTTTTCTTTAATTTGCCGGCAACACGTTTACCAAAGCGGATTATCAAAGTTTCCGTCTGAGAGCAACATTAGTCACTTGTACTCCAACTTGGTCCTCGCTCTCAGCAATCTTGTTGGCCAAAAGTACTCAGGCAAATTGCTGTTGGTTGCCTCGTTTATGCTTCTGTTACACATGGTTTGTCGTCTCTCACCCTTGACTGGATGGCTCTTCGTGCTAGGAAGGTAGACAATGTAGTTCTTGACGGGCTCAAGTAGCCACGCTACCGAATCTAAATAGAAATAATTTTCCCTGCCGTCACTCTCCAAGCTTTGTCAGAGCACTAAATAGCTAAGAAGTTATGTAGAACGCTGCTAGCCAAATTTGTAGCACTTCCATGTTAAATTCACACGTAAACGACCGAAAACCGGGTCCTCGGTCTTAATCCTATAGAAGTGGAGGAACTCCGGTGGAGCAGCAGAGGAAAGGACCAAACAGTTGATGATTATGGGAAATTCACAGGTACAGAGAGAACGTGACACGAATTATTATCTCATTCGAGTGACTTCCTCATTAATATTGGAATTTCTTCTTTCACGTTTTCCCCCATTTCTTGTCGTCTCCATCCACCTTTTCCGACAACTAAACGTGATTAAAATATGAGCCTTCGAAAAAATACGAATGTAATTCCGTCATGCTTAATTTGTTCATTGCGCCGCTGTTTTTCCACAAAGACACAATATTAATTGCCATTCTGCTTTTTTCTTCCATTTCACAAATTGACTTTCTGCGAAGGATGCGTGAATGAAAGTCTGGTGCTAAAGTAATCATGTAAATTTTGTTGCTATTTTGTATCATAATTAATGATCCATTTCACACCCCATCCCCGGAAACGTAAGCTTGTGGCTTAATTTTGCTAATCTCGTGAATTTGCTCCAGCATTCTAACACCGCCATGAGTGTTGCGCGGTAAATGATGTGGTCAGAGTGATTATCTAATTTGGAAATCGTTCATGCAAATTACGAGCAGCACAAAAGGGTTAGTCAATGGGAAAATTGGACGCAATTGATGATGAAATTTGCAAAATACACATTCAAACGCTAAAACGAGTTTATGATTAATCGTTGCATTAAATCTAGCCCTTCATGTACATTATACTGTATTCGTATTGTCAACGATTCCAGTTTATGAGCTTCTGGGTCAGCTTTTAACCTTTTGTAGCTCTCTTTTATCATGTCGTTTCCCATTGTTCCACAGCAAAGCTCTGACACAGCAGAAAACTTTTGAATTTATTGACTTTTTAATTTTACACCAACAGCGTAAGTTGAAGGTGAATAGCTGAGCAAAGCAGAAATTTCCATGATTGCACAGTAATAAATAATTGAAGGTACATAAAAACTTAAACTAGATTTGAGGCGGAAAGAGATTTTGATGGAAATCTTTCATTGAATGCTGCCATCACCCTTTCTCAGACAGATGATTACCTCCGAGCCATCCACCCTGAGAGGAAAGTATTCCCGGCACGTTTCCCGAGGAGAATAAATCAAATTCGAATGATGGCAACATATCGCACTGTGGCGTCTGCCAAGAGGATGGGTGTTTCGCAATCCTCATCCTTGATTTCCTCCATACACGAGCCAATGAGTTGCGTTTCCGAGCCAGCTCAACTCCGTATGGAGTTCATAACGAGTTTTAAAGTACTCGAAGGGGGATTTTGCGAGAAAAAGTGGCATCATTTATGCCATATTTCATCTCCAATACATACACTCATAACTCAAGTTGTTCCTCTATGTATAATTTGTTATACAATTTGTATATCTCGAGAACATTCAACGAAAAGATGAACTTTGATCTTGCGAGATTCCTAAAAACTGAAAGTGTCTTTGACTATGACTTTCGCTTTATCAAACTGTATGTTCTCTCAGCTTATTTATGTTTTCTAGGGCGAATTAGCGATTTATGCTCGTTTATCGCGTGGTATTTCATAGCAGATACGACTCAAGTGATTTGTGTGTCTTCTCTGGCGAGCTGATAGATCAGTCTCTGTTCGGCGTCGAGAGTAACTGATAGAATATTTCTCAAACTCCTCAAACTATGGAATTCAAGAATTTAGATGAATACGAGGAGAAGGCGAGGGATAGCTTGTCGAAGAATGCCCTCAATTACTACCGCAATGGCACGGGCAAGGGCTTATCGCTGCAGTGGAACAGATCGAGCTACGACAGGTGAGCGGGAAAAGTGGTTGCTGCCACTCCGCATTCTATTCGCATTTTTCTTCACATCCCCTCCTTCCCAGAATCCGTATCTACCCACACTGCCTCAGGGATGTGTCAAAGCGCTCTGCAAAGTGCCACTTACTGGGCATTGATATGCCCATGCCGGTGGGTGTAAGTCCAACGGCGATGCAGAAAGTGGTGCATCCGAAAGGTGAGATTGCCAGTGCCAAGGCTGCTCAGGAGGCGGGAATCGTTTTCACACTTAGCTGCATGTCCACCACGTCCCTCGAGGAAGTCGCCGCCGCCACCCCAAACAGCCCCAAGTGGTTCCAGCTGTACATTTACATCGACAGGTGAGTTTTCAGTGTTAGAAATCCATACGTGAAGGACATCCTTTAAGTAGTTCAGTGAGAAATCTGAACTACTCTTGAGGTCAATATTACATCAGCTGGCATTGGAACAAAAAGTAATCCTTATCAAATAAACACGAGTACATGACATGTTTTGACTCACTTATATTTATAAATTACTGTCTTATCTATTGACCCACAATCTACCAATTATAGACACACTTGGAGCAATTCTTCAAAACTCACAGTTTATTGCATTCCACACCTGTTTTTCTGCAATATTTTCCATTGTTTATTGACTTTTCTGTTTCAATAACCAAATACATAAACATAAATTTGTTTTCTTTTTCAGGGATCTCACAAGAAATTTAATCCGACGCGCCGAGAAAGCTGGATATCGAGCTATTGTCGTTACGGTGGACACACCAATGTTTGGATTTAGGCGACCCAAAAACAATTTGTCTCTCCCGCCTCATCTGAACCTCGAAAACTTTACCTCGGAGCGTATTCAGAACTTGAAAGAGGCGGGAGAAAATCTCAACCTCGGTACTTATTTATCGAAAGGCCACATCATCTACAGGTAGTTAAATTAAATTTCTCACTGCAAAATTTAATTTATTAGCAAGTTTATTGGTGAATCGAAATGCCCATAAATACGTTTTTCTGGATTGAAAATAACTTATCAAATTTTTCTGATAGTCTTTATACTTTTCCACACTGAAGCATATAAAACTCTTTAGTATAAAGAAAACCTTCAATGATTTATGGCATTTCTCATAGCAACTTCTTGCTGTATTCACCCATATATATGAGATCTCACATGATTTACTTCCTGAAAAACTTTCCTTTCCGCTCAGATGCTTAACTTGGGAGGACATCAAGTGGCTCGTGTCAGAGACTCGTTTGCCGGTCCTGGCCAAGGGAATCCTCCGTGCTGATGATGCCATCCAGGCGATGGAATGTGGCTGCAAGGGGATAATCGTGTCGAATCACGGCGGTCGCCAGCTTGACTCTGTGCCACCCACAATTGACGCGCTGCCCGGAATAGTGACCGCAGTTGGAAGCAAAGTGGCCGTCATTGTGGACGGAGGTGTTCGCCAGGGAACAGATGTATTCAAAGCCATCGCTCTTGGCGCCAAAATGGTACTTCTTGGGCGTCCCATCATTTGGGGCCTCACTGTGGGCGGACAGGATGGGGTGGTAGATGTCCTGAAGATCATTCAGACCGAATTCGATGTGGCTATGGCTGTCAGTGGATGCTCCAAAATCTCCGATATCACTCAGGATTTAATTGGTTTTGATCACACTTGCAGCAAGTTGTGAAATGTTATTCTAATTAAATTGGATTTCATTAATAAAGCAATACTAAGGGAGAGTTTAAAGTATCAATCTAACTTTAAATCAGATATTTGTAGTTTTGAATTCGATACTGAATTGTTCGGCACAAAAATGTAATCGTCAAGCGAGTATCAACCAATTTGAAGGTTACATGATTATAAATAATGCTAGCGATATGCACGAAATGCATAATACTACTTGTTATGTATGCTACACATGTTTCAATTCGATTCAATTAACTCATAACTGTACCATAACAGTATACAGGAACTTTCATCACGAATATTGAGCGTGCCATTTAGAAAATATTTTACAAAGCTCTGGAAATAATACTTTTTGATTTGGTTTCAGTAGCATTTTAATAAAGAATTCCTGTGGCTGTGGAGCGATTTCAACTATTTTACGAGTTAATTTCAGCTTGAACAGAACAATGTGGAGCAAATTGAGTGGAATTAAAAAGAGGGGAAAGGAAAAAGCAGCAGCATGTTGAATAATACGCCAGGATCCCAAAAACAACCCGCCTCTATGGAGAGCGAGAAGAGCAAAACATCCCGAAAGCCTCTTTCATTTGCATTCGAGGGCAAAAATAAATTATGAAAGTTGGGAAGGGATGCCCAGGAGGGCAAACAAGGTGAATTTGATTATAAATACAAAATACACCCTTCCTCTCTAATTACCTTGGCGAGCAGATAATTATTTTATGAGCTTATAAATTAGCTCTCTTCTCAGTATTGTTCATCGCATTAAAATTTGATTCAATTAAAAAGCGGTTACTCTATATGCGTATTATATTGTTTCACTTCACCATAAATTTCACTATTAGGGCACGTAATTTACTCATGGAAAAATTACCTCATAGATTAATGACTTTCCGCACAGGTGAAATGCAGTTATGCTGAGATTTTATGTTGTAGAGCTAATTCTCTGCCTCATTCGCTTTTGTCGATTCGTGGACAAAATTGCAAATTTTACATTCCATTAAGCGCGAATTGCTTCCCTACCATAATTTTCTTTCAGCATTCCAGAAATATTGGAATTGTGCCAAAAATGTTCTTTGTTCTCATGAATCTCTTTTGATCTTGAATCATATACCTTTAATTACATCAGCTCATAATATATCCTCTCAAGCATTCCATCTACATTAACGCTAAAACACTTAAAGCCGAACGACTCCCGATCAGCTTTAATTGTGGGATAGTTCATTCAGCAAAATGTATTTTGTTGGACATTGTAATTTTTTGGCTGGCAAAGAGAAGCATTTTCGGGGGAAAAATACCTCAATCTATTTTTGGTCATATTAAATTTCTCTGATGCCAATTTGGTTGAAATTATTTTCCTTACAATCTGCAAGATTAGTAAAGTTGGTATGTAAATCGTGTAAATCTATAATGACGCATTTCAAAACATGACTGAGAGACTCTGGATTTAACTTTGGTTTCCCTCCACTTTGTATATCTGACTAATTTATTGGATTGCAGAGAGACTACAGCCCAATACATTAGCCGTGCTCGAGTGGATTCTAACATTGAGGCTGCATGTTAATACCGAAAATGCTGCTTCAGAAGCTCTACAAAAGCTTTCATCTTGTCGAGTAATACATATCGCAAATAGCTAGTGTTGCTGTGAGGGTTGAAGTAAATGGGGAATGTCGAGAGCAACAAGTAATTTCATCAGAGCTTCCATCAGACTATTAACAAATATTATTTTCTTTGTGCACTCCGTGTTTATCCAAGTAGTACGAAATTGATTTCCATATGTAATCACATTAAGCATAAGGTGAGAATACCTCATAATCTTAGGGTTGTTCTTCTTCTCAAATTAATCTTATGAACATCACATACGAAAACCTTCAATTTCACACAAAAGTGCTTCACACAAATCCGTATAAAGGTAATTTGAGATTTTCCTATGAGAGATTCATGTCTTTGTTATGTATGTACATATGTATACACAAGCATCTAAAGATATAAATAGGATATGTCTGTGCTTAAAATGTAATACATACTATAACTTTTGGGCTGCGTGTGACTATGGGAAAGGAGGAAACGGTATGAAAACTTGAAATACGTAATTATTATGGAAAATACATTAAAACTTTAACCACAAAGTGTTGCAAAATGCTTTCAATATGGAAAATCAGAAATGATCACAAAATTTCCACATGATTAAGTGTTAGATTGGATTTACTGAATTTATAACGTGCACATCGGTGTGGGAAAATTGGATTTTGCCACGGCATCAATCCCATTTCCCTGGCCATTGTCTTTTTCTTCTGCCCAACACGACCATCATGCACTATTTCTTTCCCACTAGACTTGTGAAATATTTATTTTGGCTGACTTTCTTTTGCAGTTGTTGCGAATGCACTTTGGAATTTACTTTCATCTTCCTCCTATTTCAACGAAGAAACATGAGTGTAGTGGAAATGCAATACAATTTAATATAGTACACCCAAGTGAAAAGAAGACTTACTAATACCTGCCACAAACACTATATATGTTTGGACTTCAGAGCATGAGCTTTTCACATCCACTAAAACTTTGAAATGCAATTTTTGTGGCGCAAACTTTCCCCGTTATTTATAAAGTTGTTAAGCAATCGCATTTTTCGTCCAATAAAGAAGTGGAAACACCAGAGCAAAAGAGAACGATTTTCTGCAAAATAAATAAATCAGATGCTTTTTCATGTGATAAGTAGGATACAAAAGTGTTATAATTGAAAATAAACTTCTCAGTTAAACTGCAAACTTATTGAGAAGATTCTTCCTAAATTAGACTTTAAAAGTCCTTCGTTAGTTCTCTTTCTGCATTCATAGAACTTTTATTACACAGTTAATATTAATTCTGGAAAGTATCATTGAGAAAACTTTATCTAACTTTTGATTCGTGCAAGCAAGTTGGAAACATGAAATATGATATCTGAGATAAATAATGGGAAATTGAAGATTGATTAATTGTTGTTATCGATATCGTAAACCAGCAATTCAATATAGTTTCAATAAACAGTTTAGTTAAAGATAATTAGAGAGATAAGAAGACTATAGAACGTATCGTGCGCATTCGATCTGATCTCCTTGATGGTTTTCACAAGGAGAAAGAGCCAAATTGCACCCTCGAGAAATATTACATTGTTATACATACATCACAATACAAAGTACTCAGTTCTCGTTTGCTTAATTATTCCCTCTTTGGCCTGGGAGAAATGTCATAATGTCTCCAGTGGAATATCACTTTCGCCGATTTCCAGGAAAATCAAATAATTCAATCATGAGGAAAGTTGTTCTTGGCCATTTCGCTCGAGTTTCGCCAGAAGAGATTCACCTAAAATTCAGTGACTAATTATTATGCAAATTGCATAGCAATTTAATCGGGTCTTGTGTGTACGGCAGCCGGTCTAAACAGACGAAATAATTGGACTATGTGGATGGACACGAACGGGGTGTCCCACGGAGAGGACGAGGGCGAGAAGCTTGGGATGCGGCCGCCCATTTGGCCCCATTGCCGAGTGTGTGTGTCAATTAGTTGAGCAATATGGTGTCCCGCTGTGATGACATATAATTCCCACCACAAATGCTCTCCTGAGTTTGTTCAGGAGACATCAGCATCACCATCAGCAACCAAGGAAGGCAGTGTTGGATTGTGGTTATGAATAATACTACACAGCCCAACAACGAGATGAAATCCCCAGCGCCACGAGAGTGAATGCCGCAGAAGTGGAGCGACACCGAATGGTAAATTGACTAGATTCCTAGTCAGAGATAAAGTCAATACACTTCACTGGGTATTGCTTGAATGTATGTATCGAACCAAGAACTGATTGCAATGAATTCAATGGTCTGCAAACCGGCAGCTTTTCAGCTTCCGAAGATTACGCAAAGTTCTATTTTTCAACACTCCTCTGCACATCTCAATTCTACTACTCATGTAAGCTTCATGCATTTTACTCGAGCTGCTCACTGGGACTGATGATTTTCCGGAAGGAGCTATTGCATATCTCAATGAGAGAAAAGGGAGTAACCGAATTTCCATACGTGAATTTCAATCACGCCATGGAATTGCATGCAACATTCATCACTTTGATTTTAGCGTTTCTGACACTACGTATGCTCGCCGAAGAAGAGGTTTGGGTATCATGTTTGGGGATAAAAGGTGGAGATGATGGTATGGCGAAATTGATGCCAAACGCTTCAAACATATTGGAGTAAACATTTGCCCTGTATATTGTGCATATGCAAATCCTCTTCTCCACTTGCAGCATGACATTATTGTATCGCATTAAGGACAGAGAAATTTAAGTTATTTTATGAATTTTTTACTGGTGAAACTTATCTGGGAAAGTATTCACATACTTTCGCATGCTTTCTGGTCCAAACTGAAAGTGGCAATGTTTTGTGGGAATTTTTGTAATTTTTCCCGATTTTTCGCCTCAAAAGCAACCCTTTTCCGGCTACGGGGAGAGAGTTCCGTGGTAGGAGTGTGAGGTATTAGAGACAATTGAGTGTGGAGTGAGATGTGTTCCCGTGAGGAGCGAATGGGTGGACAAAACAAACGAGACCTCCCATTTCAAACGCGAAATGTAATAAATGCTTCCGATGGTGTTCACTTGTTTGCGCCTCGTTGTCCAAATTTGCATTGAAGAGGCGAGTGATGATGACACGAAGGGCGAAAGCTCGCACTGCGGAATGCCGGAGAGCAATACATGGGAATTCAGGGCATTTCGGTATTAATACCCAGGAGCAACAAGACGGAGTCGCAATTAATCACCATCCTGATTGATGACTCACTTGAGATAGGCGGAGGGCTGGTGGCGGAATGACTCCTGAGAGCGTGTGTGGCAAAGTGTTGGAAGGACGGAAAAATAAGAAGTCACTTGTAGTCGTTTTCTCAAGTCACTGCATTTAATCATTTTCTCCTCCGCTCCTTGACACCCTCGGTCGTCATTTGCCCATGTTATGCTCTCCAGTTGAATCATAACAAAACACCCGCATCCGCCAGCGCGAATTTCTCATTGCGAAGCCCCGGAAATGGGATGCCCT